CTCAGGAGGCTGAGGCAGGAGGATTTCGAATTTGTGCCCAGCCTGGGATACATGGCAAGATTCTATCTCAGTCGCAATAACAAAAGCAGAAAAGACTCTTGCTTGGTCAACTGAGTTTTTGGCTTACTTACACAGAGACTACAACACTGTTTAGACCAAGATTTGTTGTACATGTCAGAGACTTTAGATTTCAACAGTTTGGCTTTTTGACAATGGGCAGTGGCCGCAGCCCTGGGGATTGGCATGGAGGCTGACCCCAGACATTGGTGCTGGAGTGCGCATGAGGGTAGAAATGTGTTCTCTGTGCAGCGCTAGTGCCACCTGGTCAGCCATGGGGATGTGTGGGGTGGCGGGGACCAGGAGGTGCAGCCATACCACCAGCTTCACCTTCCCACAGGCCAAAGCCTGGGCTCACAGCGCTGAGAGGGTTGCCAACCTCTCCCTGGGAACTGTGCTACTGCCTGGCAGCCTTGGCGTGGCCAGGATGCGCTGTGTGGGACGCCGGCACCTCTGGCTAAGGGTCCTGGCCACTTGGGCTGCAGCTGTTGGTGACAGAGGCTACTGTCCTCCCTGGGTGTCCTTGGGATGTCGGAAGCCTCTAGAGAGCAGGCACACTGTCCATGCAGCATCCCTTTCAGCAATTCCGGGTTGGGAACCTGCGACAGCCGAGCCAGCCTGGTGACTCCTGCTCTGCTCACTCCCTTGCTGCGGACACTTCCTGCAGTTGGTGCATTTACCCAGGTCACCGAATCTCCAAGCCTGAGTCACCATATCCCTTCTAGCCAGGGTTCCTCAGGCAGGCAGCCCTTCCTCCTGCCCTCCCACCTTCCCAGTGGGCACCCAGCTGCCTACTACTCCTTGGTCTGCAAGCCGTGCAGCCGGCAGCAGTGGGCTGGCTGGGTCAGGGTGAGGCAGAGAGGATACAGATAGCTGGGGGAGCCCAAGGCCGGTGCAGGCTGAGCTGGGTCTGTCCCTTGCAGTTGGCTCTGCAGGGCTGGGGACTTGGACTTGCCCAGCCCTGCATGGAGCTTGTGTCAGATGGAGGGAGGGTGATACCAGCATGTTCCCTGCCCTAGGATGGGGTGCCTGGGCAGATGTGGGCATCCCCAGGCCGTTCCCAGGGAGCCCGCCCCCTGCCTGCTCCTGCAGCCTAGGGATAGTGTAGCCAGTATGTCTGGAGATCTCCCGGTGTCCTGGGTGCATTGTGGCTACTCCCTGGCTCTTCACTGGTCCTTCTTGGCCTCTGTCTCCCCACAGAAGTCACGTGTGTCAGGGGTGTCCAGGCCTGGGCGCTACATATGGGCCCTGAGTACAGAGGGAGGGAGTTCACCTGCAGCAGCTGCTCAAGAAGGTGGCCTGCGGGCGGGGACACCCTTGATGTGTTCAGGGCGCCCTGAGCACCCACTGAGACACTCACCACTGTCACTGGGGTCAAGTGGGCAGAGGGCAGGCACCAGTGCCAGAGTCCTTTGATTCTCCAGTGTATACCTTTTGCCCTTTTTCCTAGGCATCCAGAAGACTCTTCACTTTTTCTTTCTTTGTTGTCTTTTTTTGGTGCAGGGAATTGAACTCACAACTTCATTCTTACTGAGTGGATACTTGTGCCTCTGAGCTGTATTCCAGTCCTTTGGCTTTTGGCTTTTGGCTTTTAGCTTTTGACTAGGTGTGTGTGTGTGTGTGTGTGTGTGTGTGTGTGTGTGTGTGTGTGTGTTTGGTCTTGTGCAGTTTAGGCTGGCCTTGGGCTCACTTTGTAGCCCCAGTCTGGTTTTAAACTTGGGCTCTTTGGGAGTAGCAATGACCCTCCTGTCTCAGCCTCCTGAATAGTGGGATTATAGAAGTGCACCACCATGCCCAAATGGCTTTCGACTTTTGACTTTCAGCTTTTGGCTTTTTTCCCCCATGTATTCTGGGTATGTAGCCCAGGCTAGCCTTAAACTTGCGGCAGTTCTCCTGCCTCAGCTTCCTGAGTGCTGGGATGACAGGATTGTGCCACCACACCTGGCTAGTCCTCTTAATTTCTACCATGATTTTTTTCTGTGGTTTTAAATTTCCCAGTTTTTGCTACTATGTAGAGTAGTTCTCCTCTGGCCTCTTTCTCCTTTCAGTGCGGAAACCAGATCCATAGCCTTGCATCCAGTGGCTTTTTAGAGTGTCTGTAAATCTTGTTTCTGCTAAGTGGTTTCCAGTCTGTTTTAAGCTCACTGTTCGCAGCCCAGGCTTCTCTGTGGGTATCTTCCTGAGGCGCTGCTGTCCGCCCTGTGCTCCTCGCCTTGTTGAGCCCTTCTGCGACAGGACACACGACGCGACACTATGTAGATTCCCATTGTTTATTTTTCACAGTGCTGGGGATGAAGCCAGGGCCTTGTGCACTAGTGCTCACTCTGCAGGAGCCCTGCCCCAGCCAGGCTTGAGGGCTCAATTTCCCTCACGCACCAGCACCATTGGTGGCCCTGGCTCTCGCTGCTGCAGCTCCTTCTCTGTCCCACACTGGCTGGCTCTTTGGGAGTGAAACTGTGCTTTGTCTCCTCTTGCTCTGTCTGAGTCCTGTCTTTTGGGGGATACCAGTCCTGATGTGCCTGTGTCGTGGGGGCCACCAGGCTCTCATGCTCACAGGGACACCATGTCCACTCCTGTCCTGTTCTCAGGCCTAGAGACTCTGTGCTGCTCCTCTCCTGCTGGCCACAGGGGTTTCTGGCCTGGGCACATCTGTGCCAGTGTTGCCTCAGAGCCACTTCTGACCCTCACCTTGCTGCCCTTCAGGGAGCAAGCCATCCTTTTCCTTTTTCTTTTACACAGGGTCTTCCTGTGTGACCCAGGCTGTCCTTGAACTCGAAGCAGTCCTCCTGCCTCAGCCTCCTGAGTCCCGGGTGGATTATAGGCATGTGCACCTGGCCCGGCTCCCCTGCTCTGAGTAGTGTGCGTGTGCAAATGTGTGCTGTGTGCGTAAGTGAGGTGGGCTGCTGAGAAGCTGTAGCTTCTGTGTCTGTCACATACTACATTGGTCTGTAACTGAGTTGTGTGCTGCTCATCCTGTTGTAATTCAGCAGCGGTGCTGATGTAGCTCAGCAGCAGCGTTTCCTCTGTCGTCCTGCATCCCTGCTTGTCTCTGCCTTCGATGCTGGTCCCTGGCAGGGTGACTGGTCCTGGTGCTTGAGAGGTGACATCTGTGACCAAACCCGAAGCCCCTTTTGGAGAGCTCATCTGTGTGCTGTGTGGGGGACACACATGCAGGCACATATTGGCACACACAGGGACATACAGCCGCACACAGGGACACTCACTGTCATGTGCACCCTCCCCAGGGATGCACTGAGGCTGAGACATTGTGTATGGGTGACTTTTTCAGCCAGGCTCACAAGACTGCTTCAACAAACTTTTTCCCCCAGAACTGGGGTTAAAATCCAGTCTTTACACTGAGCTGTGCCCAGCTCTTTTTAGTTCTTGTTTAAGATTGGATCTCAACTGGGGGCTTTAACTTGTACTACTTCCACTTCAGCTGCCCAAAGTGCTGGACCACAGGCATGTGCCACACGCTAGCTAAGGTAGGACAGTTGAAGAAAATTTCGGAAATTTGCCCCTGTCCTGCTCCACTGGGGTGGATCACCCATCATAAATGCCAGGCCTAGCTGGGTGGCGCCTATCTATAATCTCAGTACTTTGGGAAGCTGAGGCAGGAGGATCAAAAGTTTGAGCCCAGTCTTGGCAATTGACTAATTGAGTGAGAAGCTGTCCCAAAAAGAAAAGAAATACTGAGAAACCCTCCAAAACCTAAAGTACCAAGGAGGCTGCCTCAAGTCCTGGCAGAGCCTGCAGCTGCTCAGTGGTACAGATGGGGCTTGGACTCGGGGCTCCCAAGTCCACCCAGGGTCCATACTGGACCCCTCCAAGGTCTCTAGCCATGGTGCAGGTGGAGCAGGCAAGGAGCGCTGGGCGGATCCTACTGAGGGGATAAGCTGCAGAGCAGAGGCTCGCTGGCTGCCCCAATGGTGCTGCAGAGGCTTGCAAATTCTTTAAGAAGGGATTTTAATTGTCAGCTCTGTCTGTGCCGGGCACATGTGTGTGCGCACGTGTGTGTGTGTGTGTGTGTGTGTGTGTGTGTGTTACTGGGGATTGAAACCAAGGCCTTTATGCTGAGCTGCAACCTTCGCCTTTTTTATTTATGACAGTGTCTTGCCAACTTCCTGGACTAGGCTGGAACTTGTGATCCTCCTGCCTCAGGCTCTCTGGGTGCTGACCCTGCACGTCAAGGCTGGTTTACTGGTGCTTTCTGAATAGTCGTGTTCCTGCACACGGCGTACCTCATGCCGTGTGGCACCACACATGATCGTAAACACCCTTGTGGGCTTAGTGCTGGTTCTCACCCAGTCTCAGTGAGGTTAAGAGACATGTGGTTATTGGGCACAGTGACCCAGGCCTTAGCTCAGCTGCTTAGGAGGCTGAGGCAGGAGAATAGCAAGTACGGGCCAGTCTGGGCAACATAGTGAGATCTGTCTCAAAAGAAGAAAAAAAAAGAACAAAACTAAAAGTAACACCAGCAGCAGCAGTGGTCCGTCTGGCCTTGGGTGTGGGAGGTGTTGGGGCTGCAGCGCTATCTGTGGGGGTGTCCCAGAGCCGAGTTCCCAGCCACTTCTCTGGAGGTTGCAGAAGGACAGTCATGTAGCTGATGGAGACGGGCCCCCCACCAGGCATCTTGGGTGCTCCCATGTGCAGTGGCACAGGGGAGGCCTTGCAGGAGCCCTGCGTGAGCCGGGGCTGTCCTGGAAGGTGCTGGCTAGAGCTCTGAAAGTGGGGCGCCGGTGGATTGGCTCGGGCTCTGCTGCTGTGGCCACTAGGCATGCTCTGTGCACCTGCCTGGTCTCTTGGCCACACAGCTCGCCCTCTGCTACCGATGCATTCTACTGCTTTGGGTTACAGTGTGGGTCTCACTGGGCAGAGGGCTTTTCTTTAAAAGTCAGTGATAGCGTACATATATTTTTTTCTGTCTTTATTTTATTTTTTAGGTAAAAGCAAAGAAGCAGAAATAAAGAGGATAAACAAGGAACTGGCAAATATTAGGTCAAAATTCAAAGGTAAGTGTTAGCTTTTTTGATGATATAGTTTAGTGTATACTTTTTATAGGGAGGACTGAGTGTTTTTAACATTGTCTTATTTTCCTTTGTGATCCAAAATTGAATTCTCAGGTGGTCGGTTTCTATTTGTCTGTGAAGCCAGCCTGGGTTCAGGCAGTTCCTGAGCTCCTGAGCCTGCACCTGTGGGGTCCCTAGATGGTGCATCCCTCCTAGGGGCGGTGGCCCAGGCTTTGGTCTTTTCCTGGGTTGGAGCAGTGCTGGCAGGAGCCAGGTGGCCTGACCGCAGGTGGGGACGAGCCTTGGACACAGGGTTCCTAGCTGCCCATTGCCCTCTGCAGTCTTGCCAGAGTCTTGGTGGGTGCTGTCAGCAAGGCTTTTCTCTGACGCCCTGGCTGGGAGGACCCATTCGGCAGAGGCTGGCTCTGGTCTTGCATGTGAGGGCCCAGCTGGTCCTCTCAGTCTGGGCTTTCAGTGTATTTTATGGGGTTGATCCCTGGCTCAGGCCTGAGGGTACTTCAGCACCAAGCAGAGCTGAGGTTTCCTGGAGCAGCTGGATGGGGACCTTGGTGCTGCAGAGCTGTAGCTGTCACAGAAGAGCCCTGCACCTGGAGCCCAGGTGATGCAGAACCAGCACCACAGGGTGAGCCTTGCTGCACTCCAGAGAGTTTGGGGTTTTAACAACCTGGCCAGGTCCAAGGGCCTACAGGAGACCATGAGACCCCTGTAGTGGGCTGGGGAGGATTTGCTTGTGTGTGGTGCACCTGGGATTCCAGGGCTCTGTGAAGAGTGAGATTGTCCCACAGGTGTTCCACCTGGTGCAGGTGGGGCTACCCCGAGCCGTTGCTGACTGGCACAGAGTCACACCCTCAGGTGGGTTCCGCTGCAGACTCTCCATGGGATGGTGCCAGAGAAACAGCAGTGTGTGGGAGGAGAAGTGGGTTAGGCATGGAGTCCGTGTGCTCCCATGGACAAGACCCTGTCAGCCCTGTGTGCACAGCATAGGCTGTGCCTGCCATCCTGCCCGTGCCTGCGTGAGAGCATGGTGGATGGCCGGTGGAGGTAAGTGCCTAGTGCCTATCAGTCCTCCACTGTCCGTATGGAAGGTTCCATCAGATGTGAAGTCTTATTGGTCTTAGAATAATCTAACTTGCTGATGTGTAATTTTAAGATTGAGGACTCTGTAACCAGGCATGTGTAGTCCTGGCATTGAGAGGCTGAGGCAAGATCATGAGTTGGAGTCTAGTCTGCGCTATAGAGTGAGGCTTTCTCCCAATCCCTCTTTCGCCAGAAGATGAAAAGCTTTGTTCAGCTCTTTAGTTCCCAGACTTCTCTGTATTTTAGGACTCTGGGGGGACCCCATCTGGTCCTTGTTCTGCCTGTCTGCCTGGGAAGAGACTATGTCCCCCTGTCTGTGGTCTGTGTGAGTGCTGGCTTCACTGAACAGGAGCAGACGTTCCCTACCCCTGAGTGGGGTAGCCTGAGGGTCCCCCGGCCAGTGCCTTGGGACACAACTCCACACTGCTGAGACCCTCACAGCACAGATCGCCCTGGGCCTGTATTTTTGTGGCCTCAATGAAAAGCCTAAACAGAAGTTTGAACTTAACCATATTTTGGTTAGTCCTGTGTTATGTTTGGAAAATCACTGCTGTCATGCAGAGTGGCACCTGTGTCTAACGTTTCCTGCTGTCCCCTGTAGAGCATATCTATGTGGACAGCCTCATCCATGTGCTCGGTAGCTCTGGTGTCAGGCTGATGCTGGCCTGCAGTGCAGGGCAGACATGATGAGTCACTCTGGGCAGCACTGTCCTCCGGCAGGGACAGCAGCCACACAGAGCTGTGCTGGTGATGTGGAAGGCCTGGGACAGTTGTTAGGATCCTATTCCCCAGGAGACAGGCAGTTTTGGCTGTCACAGCTAGGGGGCTGTTGTTCGCAGTGAGTTCCTGTCTCAAAATGAAAACTAGAAAGGACTGGGGATGTGGCTTGGTATGCAGGACCTGGATTCAGTCCCCAGGCCCAGTCCCCAGGCCCACTGATTGAATAGAAAGTATTGCCATGGCTGTGCCACACAGAGGCCGTGACCAGAAGCTTCAAAGCTGCGAGGGGGCATGGGGCAAGAGGGCGGGCTCCACTGAGGTGAGGGTGCTGGTAGAGTGCAGGCACCATCTCCAGGTTCAGCCCCACTCCTCAACGTCTTTAAGAAATGAGGCCAAGCCAGGCATGACAGCACCCACCGGCAGTCCCAACACTTGGAGACAGAGGCAGGAGGATCACAAGTTTGGGTCCAGCCTGGGCAACTGAGCAGTTTAGACACTTAGTGAGATCCTATTCAGAATAAAAAAGTAAATAAAGGGGCTGGAGATGTAGCTCAAGCCCTAGGGCTGCACCATTGAGTTGGCTGGGTGGGTGGCACACACTAGCACAGTGGCGCCTCAATTCATAAACTGAACCCTCCACAGTTCTGATCACAAACCGAACTGGATGGACCTGAGTTCGTGTACGATCCCTCTCTCCGCCCTTTGCCTCCCCATCCTCGTCCCCTCCTTTGAGAATGACCTGTCTCTGTGTTAGGTGCATTCCTGTTGCGGTGCAGCTTTCTCCATTGTCTGTCTCCACAGCCTTCTTCATGCTGCAGACCTGACCCTGTGTCCTTGTCAAATGCCAACCCTGACCCTAGTGCCACTGCCTTACTCTGAGGAAGTGGAGTCATACAGTGTTGCTCTTTTATTTCTGTCATATGATGCCTCAGGGTTCCTCTTGGGCTTCACCATGTGGTAGTCTCCCTTCCTTTTGAAGGCTGTGTAATACTCCACAAGCTTATCTATTTATCCACAGAGGATGCTCAGACACTTGCGCCCTGGCGGGATGGGGGGGGGCTGGTGCTGTTCTGAGCACAGCTGTGCAGGTGTTGGTTTCCTCTGCATGTGCATGTGAGGTCAGGTTCCTGGGCATATGGCAGTGCTGTTTTCATTTCATTTTAGTTTGTAGTACATGGGCTTGGTTGTCCAGATAGGACTGCGAACGTTTGACATGGCAGAGCTCTGCAGAACAAGCTGAGAAACAGGGTCGGTCTCTCCGTGCAGTTCAGGCTGGCCTTGAGCTCACTGTGTAACCCAGGCTGGCCTTAGGCTCGAAGCCATCTCATGCCTCAGCCTCCTGAGTGTTGACTTACAGGTGTACATTACTGTGAGAGGCTAAATTCCTAAATTATAAGAGCTCAGTTTTCATTTTTCCTTTGTTTGTATGCTCTGCTGTCCCACTAACATGGTTGCTTATCCTTCACTGTCTATGGTGCAGGCCTTGGAGCTGCCCCTGCTGGGCTCCGTGAGGTGCAGCAGTGATTCCCCACTCTGCCCTGGCTTCCAGAAGGGCACCTGGCCCCCAACCCATGGTAGCTGTGGGATGAGGCTCATCTGGGTGCAGCATGCCAAACCGTGGCAGTGTCTTGTTCTCCTTGATGTGTGGTCAAGAACATCACTCCTGGGAGGTGCTGTCCACACCTGTTGGGCACCTGTGTTGCAGCCTGACCTGCCCCTAGGGCTCCGGGACACTAGGATCAGGGGCTCAGAAAGCTACCCAAGCCAGCCTTTTGAGTCCTGGTGCTGCATGGACCTACAGTTTCTTCACTCTGCATTGAATTGTTACACCCTCCTGGCTTACACCTGAGCAAATCAAAGACCTTTTAGAATTTCCAGAGAAGAAAACCAGTCCAGTTCAGTACTCAGGCAACTGCTTAGGTTGGCAACAGTCTGAGCACTGACACAGGGACTCTGTGGCTCCGGACTTCCAGAGGCCCTCACTTGGCAGGTCCCATCTGCAGGTGCAGGGCAGAGTTTGCCCGGGGCAGAGGGAGCTTGGCTCTCCAGGGAGCAGGGATGTTGCTGGTATGATGTGGTGCAGGCCTTTGGGTGGGTGCAGATGTGGGAAGGTTGGATGGGTTGCAGAGGGAGTCTTCGTGCTGGGTGGGCAGGAGCCCTTTGGGTGCTGGGATCATGCTGAGAAGGTTAGGCCCAAAGGCCTGATGGGCTACGATGCCACCTGGCCTCATACCTAGATGCCCCTTCACTGAGAAGGTGTGAGGGCCCTGTGCAGGGCCGGATGTGTGGGCCAGGTGCAGGTAGGTGCTGGTGGCCGATGGCCAGGAGTGGCACAGATGCTGTGTTCCGGTGGTGTCCTATGGTGTGATTTGTTCTACAGTATCCTCTTCCAAGGACTGGGAGGGCAAGCTTTGCAGGGTGCAAGCAGGAGTCACACACTGACTCTTTGGTGTTGCCTGGGCTTTGAAACAGTACCATTGTTTGAGCCTGGTGAGAGAGAAGTGCTTCCTGAAGCCCAGCTCGTTTCTAGCTGCCGGCATGGTCTAAGCTTGGAAGGTCTTCTTTTTGAAGTTTTCGAGACTGTGGGTTAGAGGTCTCAGCCTTTCCCATCCTACATGCTATAGTTCCTGGTGAGGAGAAGCTCCTGTTGCTTGGGTGTTTCACCTGGTGGTTTCTTACCCACTGATTGTTCTCCTCGCTCCATACTGTGACCTCCGGGAGGGGCAGTCTCTGGTGATAGTGAAAACAAAGTTGTCCTGGGCTGTGCCTGTATGTGCATGTGCTATGCCTTGTATGGCTCAGGGTGTGTCAGCTGCCAGGGCCTGTGAACTTCGCTAAAGATGCGCTCTGTGCATTCTTGTGGGCTTGTAGATCCCAGGCTGCAGGGCCATTGCACTGGCCTGTGCTGCTCTTTGTCAGGGGAGCCAAGCCCTGGAGCAGATGGCAGTGCATGGGGTGCACCTGCAGCTCTCTGTGGCCCTCCTCAGTCCTCTACTGCGTGCTTTGTCCACCCAACAGTGAGCTCAGACATCCCCTGTTGTGTAGGTGACAAGGCTCTTGATGGCTACAGTAAAAAGAAGTATGTGTGCAAGCTACTCTTCATCTTCCTCCTGGGTCACGACATTGACTTTGGGCACATGGAGGCTGTGAACCTGCTGAGCTCCAACCGCTACACAGAGAAGCAGATTGTGAGTACCCTGTGGGGTGGCATGGTGCCCTGTGCCCACCAGGCTGGCAGGTGTGGTTCAGATGGCACTGACAGGCTTCTTCTGATGGGGCAGCCCAGCCTCTGCTACTTCTCCATGCCCACTCCCACGTGGGAGGCTGCTGCAGGTGTGGGCTCTGGGTGGTGCCTGAGCTCAGCTCTGTGCACCCTACCCTGGTTCAGCCTCCCCTTGCAGAGCCCCCGACTGCACTGCCCCTGGCAGTGCTGTGCGGCAGGCGCTGCCCAGAAAGGCACATGAGGTCAGGGAGACATGGCCCCTGTTCTCCTCCCTATTCCCAGGCCACCCAGGCTTGGCGGTTTCAGCTCTGTATTTTCTTGTAACAGCATTATTTCTGTGTTTCCCCAGTGTCATAAAGCAGTAGTTTTCTCTGTTAGTTTAAAAAAAAAAAAAGAAATGACTTTCTAAGCTAGGTATCGTGATACATGCCTGAAAGCACTTAGCACCTAGGCTGAAACCAGAGGAGTGCAAGTTCAGATTCTGCCTGGCAACTTAGGGACTTAACAGGGAGCTTTGCTCATGGTAAAATTAAAGGGCTGAGGGTGTAGCTTAGTTGCAGAGCACCCCTGGTTTGCTCGCCAGTACCTAGAGGAAGAAACTTTAGAAACTGAGGAATACTGCATATCAGGGCTTTTTGTTAAGCAGAGTCAGCCCTCTGCATCTGCATATTTGAAGTCACTGACTGGGTTGAAAACATCTGGAAAAGTCACAGCCTACCGGATGCGTAGTGTTTATAGTCGGTGTTCCCTAAACCAGAATCTGGTTGAGGGTTGGGTGGCACGTAGCAGAGAGCCCACACCTTGCCTGTGCGCCCTCTAGGGGACACCCTGGCGCCCTGCTGTGGACAGGGTATGGTGGTTCCCCAGGCAGCTCCTCACACCCTTGTCTCACCTGTCCTAGGGTTACCTCTTCATCTCTGTGTTGGTGAACTCCAACAGTGAGCTGATCCGCCTGATCAACAATGCCATCAAGAATGACCTTGCCAGCCGAAACCCCACCTTCATGGGCCTTGCCCTGCACTGCATTGCCAACGTGGGCAGTCGAGAGATGGCAGAGGCCTTCGCCGGGGAGATCCCCAAGATCCTTGTTGCAGGGTATGTGTCTGGGGGTGATGTCCCCACCACTTCCCACAGGTGCAGCCCGAGGCTGGGCCAGGAGGTGCCCTTTCAGAAGGAGTCTGGCGAGAGACCCTCGAGATAAGAATGTAGACTTCGGACAGAAACCTGATCCTGGCAGCCACAGTCAAGCCGGGAGGGGCTCCAGCTTGCTGGTGCCAAGGGAAAGAAAGGCTGTGGCTTGGTGTTCGGAGGGAAGGCCAGGGACCTGTGCCCTGTGTGTCCTGCTCCTCACTTGGAGCACAACGAGTGGCTTGAGGAGCTGGTCCTAGGCAAGGGTGAAATGGCCCCTGGTGTGTGGCGAATCACCCACCTGTTCTGGGGTCTCTGTGGGGTTTCCCACAGCCATAGGGTGGCACATCTACCTGCACCTTTAGGAACCAGAGGAGGCTGGGGTGACTGTCAGTATGATGTGCACAACCCTTAGGCAGCATGGTGAGGGCAGAGTAGAGGCTCCGGGAGTGGGCAGATGCTGGTGTAGCCCCGAGTTCTCCACTGGCCCCCTGTCCCTGAGAGCACATTGGGTGGCATCTCAGGGCATTGTCACCTGTTGCCCTGGGCTCATGGAGGCCCTGACAGGAAGTCATGGGACACAGGGGAGGGAGGGTCCCAGGAGCAGTGCAAGGAGCCAGCCTGGTATTGACTTTGGGTTCAGACTGAGCTCTGTGGCCCCTGGAAGCTGGAGAGGGAAGGGAGGAGGCAGAGTGGTGGTAGTGGGGTCCCAGGCTGTTGTGCTGTGCCTTGAGCAGAATCTGGAGAACTTTGTACCTGAAAGTGAAGCCACCTTGGAGGCAGGAGGGTCAGTGTTGGTAGAGGTGAGTACCGGAGAGGAGGAGTGACGATGCTGAGAGACCCTGACAGCCACTGTGGAGCTCTGCCTGCCCAGCCTGGCTCGGCTCCACCCTCTTTGTCCAGCTCCCCCAGCATGGCACAGGACTTGTCCCTGTGTGTGCTTGGTCAGTGTCGGGGCACATGGGCATTGTCCCCCAATGACGCACACACAGCACGCAGATGATGAGGATGGAGGCTGTAGCAGCGTCCTTAGAAGGGACGACAGACAGTGTCTGCCCACAGAACAGGGCCTGGTGTTGCTTCACAACTGAGCTGTCCTGTGAGAATGGTATGTGGTGCCCATGGGCCACCCTTAGAAAATATGCCTGATGCCTGATGCCTGGCCGAGCAGCAGGTGATTAAGTCCTGGATGGTTGGTCAGAGGGGCTGGTGGACACTGACCCTGAGACAGGCTGGCCAGCAGTAATAGGGGTGTGAGGTGCAGGAGAGGTCTGTGGGGGCCCAGGAGCTGCTGGGGCCCTCAGCCTGGGTGGATGGCAGCAGGCGGCAGCAAACAGTCCTGCTGCTCAGCCAGCATGGATGCCCGGGTAGTAGGATCTTAGCTTGACCCCAGGTCTGGTGGGGCCAGGAGGGGTGCACACCTGCTTCTCTCTCCACAATGTGTGCATCCAAAAGAATTTTTAAATTATTTTGCTTCAGGAGACAAGGTCTTACTCTGTAGCCCCAGGCTAATCTTAAACTCACAATCCTCCTGCCTCAGCTTCCTAAGTTCTGGGATCAGGGGTGTGTGTCAGCACTTCTGGCTGGCCCAGAAGGACTTTTTGTTTAAGGTGGTTTTTCTTTGATACAGTTCTAGGGGAGTTTCTCCTGCTGGTTTTGCCTCATTAGGAATAAAAACCCAGAGCCAGGAGGTAACCAAGAAAGCATTCCAGGCCCTTCCTAGTGGGGCAGCTGCTCCCACCCCAGGTCTGAGGACCTACGGCCTCCATGCAGTACACCTGATGGCCCTGCTGCCCAGCAGCGCAGTGGGTGGGGGCAGTGGATCCTACACCCGCTCATGGCCACAGCAGTGCGGAAGCCAGCAGCCCAGGATCTGCAGGCCAATAACCTTGGTGCTTCATCCCTTGACTCCCTGGCAGGGAGGACAGAGAACGGTCTCCTGTCCCACATGGCTTCCCAGGGCCCCTCACCATGTGATTGGAAGGAGGAAGTCAGAGTGAGGCTGCAGGTCAGGTTGTGATGTGATGGTGGTGACCACTTATACTCCTGTGTAAGGTGACCCCCACTTTGTGGTACTTGAACCCAGGCCCTTGCACATGCTAATCAGGTGATTTCTTACGACCTATATCCTTAACCCTTTTTATAGGCGTGTGTGCAGTGCTGGGCTCTTAACCAGGATCGGGATGACGTGTATTGCCGAGTCCTATAGGCTCGCTGGCTTAGGGCTTGCAGTCCTTCTCTGTGCCTCCCAAGTCGTTGGGACCCATTGCCTGCCACTGTGGCTGGCTTATACTTTCTCTTGATGCCTACCATGTGCTTGTCTTGTTTTGGGCATTAGGAATGGGCTTAGTGCCTCCCACCCACTGTCCCTGGCTTGCCTTCCCTCCAAGGGCATGGATGAGGCTCAGGCCACGTTTTGGAGGTGAAAGAGGAAGTCACTGTTGAGACCCTGACACTGTTAACATTGCAACCGTGGCTGTGGGTTCTGCTGGTTCTTATGGCGAGGAGCAGGACTGTGTGAGGTCAGCCCAGGCCTGTGCTCTGTGCTGAGGAAGTGACAGAGCAGCAGCTGGCAGCAGAGACTGGCCAGCAGGGCTTTTGCTGAGGTATTGCAAAGCGTGTGTGGAGCCCTCTGAGGGGACTGCGTGTGTGGTGGGAGTTGTGTCAGTATCTCCTTCTGCCTCCTGAAGACCCTGGGGTGTTCTGCATGGCTCTGGGCTGTACTGTGTGGTGACTGCTGATGACTGCCTTCCAGAGACACCATGGACAGCGTGAAGCAGAGCGCAGCCCTGTGCCTGCTGCGCCTGTACAGGGCATCCCCTGACCTTGTCCCGATGGGTGACTGGACATCGCGTGTGGTGCACTTGCTCAATGACCAGCACCTGGTGAGTCCACGCTGCCCGTGCAACTGAGGCCATGAGCAGGGCCATGCGCCAGGCTGATGTGCATGGATACTGGCAGCCCTGGGCACAGTGTGCTGTCCCAGGCTGTGCCAGGGCCCCTGCTTGGCTGCTGCTTGGAGGCTCCCTGGGCACACAGCCGGGCAAGATGGTGCCTAGGAAATGGCTGTCTAGTGGGTGATGTCCTTGGTGTCCCCAGCATTTAGATGGCCCATGCACACCCTCTCCAGGGCCACATGCCTTGCTGGCTTTCCAGTTTCCAGAGAGAAGCCAGACCCAGAGGACAGACCATGTGAGGATACTGTGGAGCCTGGGCAGGCTGGTAGAGCCCCAGACATCTGCTGTCTGTGTCTTTCAGGGTGTGGTCACTGCAGCCACCAGCTTAATCACCACGCTGGCCCAGAAGAACCCTGAGGAGTTTAAGACCTCTGTGTCCCTTGCCGTCTCCAGGCTGAGCAGAGTGAGTGCATGGGGCAGGTGTTGGGTATAGGGTCTATCTGAGGGTCGCCTGGCATGGTGCCCCTGGGCTCAGGTGTGGCCCTGGAGCACGCAGCCTGCACAGGCCTCCTGCATTGCCTGTGTCTACGGCGTGGTAGATGGATACGCACCTCACGTGTTCTTTTGTCTTTGTGTGGCCTGTCCCGTCCGTGTTGTGTGTGAAGTCCTTGAGTTTCTCCTAATGCTGCAGAGAATTGGACTGTGTTATGGGCTGGGGCAAACTCACCAGCTCCTCTGTCCTATGGAGCTGTTTACTTCTTCCAGTGGGAGTGCGTGGGATCAGCTGAGCAGCCTGAGAAGTCCCTGGCTTGTGTGTGTGATGCCAGTAGCTGTGCTTGTTTGCAGTCGTGCCCGGCGCTTTCAACAGTGTTGTGCATTCCCCCTGCTGTGCCGCAGCCTGACATTGCTGGTGCTGGGCTCCCGATTATCAGTGGGTAGGCACTACTTCTGCTGGTGCTGGGTTGTCAGGAAGGGCTGGGGCCTGGCGTGTGCTTTCCCTCTGGGCTGTCCTGTGTCTCCAGGTGGTGGGGCCCAGGGCCTTATGCATGCTGGGCAGGTGTCTGCACCGAGATGCCCAGTTCTCTGGCTTAAGTCGGTTTTGTTCTCTAAAATTTTTTTTTTTGTCTTAAACTTTACAAACACTGTGATGGGAACTATAGATTGTTAGCACTTGACCTTGGTTGGTCTTCCAAAAAGGCCGCTTTGAGTGGCCGCCTACACTGTGTTCAGAGGCTGCTGCAGCTGGGTCCTGCCCATGCTGCCCTCTGGGCCCCACGCATCCTGTGTCTTCTGTGGCACTGGCTCTTCTGAGGCCATGGAGCTGTGGGTGGTGGCATTGCTGGCTGTGCAAGTGCCTCCCAGAAGTAGCTCCACCACTCTGGCCGTACTCAGAGCCCGGACCTGCTCAGTGCATCCTCGTATTCCCCATGCTGGGTCTGCCTCGTTCACCAGAGCCGTAGTGCCCCACCCTGCTGGGATTCTGCGGTTGCCATTGTGGACACAGTGGCTTGTCTTTTATTTTTTTTTCATAACATTTTATAGCTTTTTTTTTTTAAACAGAAAAAGAAATTTCAAGATACAACAGAGGGTAACAATGATTAATACATTCATATTGTTATCTTTAGCTACTTAGAGTATATCTGTCCAAAACAAAAATTTGGACAAAAATTGTCCAAACAATATTAGCACAAACTTTTCTTTTCAATGAACTAGAGAAATTAGTAGTATAACTATGTTATCTTTTTTCTTTGCAAATCTATTATTATTATTTTTTTTTTTTTACTGAAGATCGAACTCATGACCTTGTGCTTCCCAGGCAGGCACTTATGCCAGAGCTAAATCCCCGGCCCCAAATCTATTTAAAAAAAAAAAAAAAAGCAAAATTTTAAAACATATAATTGGGGGTAACAATGGTTAATACATTGTGTATTATCTTCAAACCAATTACTTATAGTACAAGATATTTGCATTTAATTGTCCAAACAATGCTAGCACAAGCCTTTCTCTTTAATGAACTCAGAAATCAGTATTATAACTATCTTAACTATCTTTTGTAGATACACACACATTGTTTCTTTCAGCCTCTCACTGAGACAATGAGTTTACATATGTGAGTCTGATTTATTTCGCTTATATGATTATGGTTTTTAGTTGTATCCATTTACCTATTAAAGTCTCAAGTTTATCCTTTATGGCTGAGTAGCACTGCATTGTGTAAAAATACCATGTCCTTTTTATCCATTCTTTGGTTGGCGGGCATTTAGATTGTTTCCAAGATCTGTCTATTCCAAACTGCTGCTATAAACATGGGTGCACATATATCATTTGGTATGATGTTTTCAGTTCTGGGAAGATACCCAGAAGAGGAATAGCTGGGTTGAATGGGACCTCTAGTCCTCGTTCCCACCAACAGTGGAGAAGGGATCCTTTTCCCCACAGCCCCTCCAGCATTTGTATTGCTTGATTTCTTGATAGTACCATTCTCTCTGGGGTGAGGCGGAATCTCGGTGTTGTTCTAATTTGCATCTCTCAAATGCCCAGTGATGTTGAACATTTCTTCACATGTTTATTCGCTACTCATATTTCTTCATCTGAGAAGTGTGTATTCATCCCAGATGCCCATTTCTGGATTGGGTTTTTAAATTTGGGAGGACTGATTTTTTAAAAAATTCTTTAGGATTTTATAGTGTTTTGAGGTTCTGTTTATCTTTCTACATTTATTTCTGTTACATATTTAATTTCTATTCTCAATGATAGCTTAAAGATTTTACTTTTTACTGCTGTTTATGCAAGTGGTTTTTGTAAGTTTATGTGGTAAAATACATAACAAAATTTACCTTTTTTTTTTAGTGTGTAGTTCAGCAATTTTAAGTAAATTCACAATGTGTATTTATCTCCCTAACTGCATTTTTCAACTGAGATGAGACAGTGCCTCTCAAATGCTGACTCTTGTGCCCACTGCCTGTTCTGTCTGGATGTGCCGGCCTGAGTTGAGTGCCTCCCGGCAGCGGAGGCTGCAGTGCCCCTGGTGATAGATTGTGATACCTGTAGGCTGCAGTGGCTGAGGGTGGCACTGTGGTGAGGTGGCCTCTGCCTGGTCTGCACTGGAGCGTCTCTCCCTGTTCAGGCGATGGCTGGCCTCTGTCCCTTGCTGGCACACTGGCTGCTCCATGCCCACAGCTGGGCACCTGGCGTTCTGTGGAGAGCTGCTGCTGGTCCTCTCGGGAGCTGCCTTGGGCCCTGCACTCAGCACCAGGCCCCCGTGTGGCTCACTATGAGCGCAGGCAGCAGGGGCGCTGTCCGCCCACATGGCTTTTCTTCGGCTCTCATCCCTGCATTGTCTTTCAGATTGTGACGTCTGCATCCACGGACCTTCAGGATTACACTTATTACTTTGTCCCAGCTCCCTGGCTGTCAGTCAAACTTCTAAGGCTGCTGCAGTGCTACCCGCCCCCAGGTAACAGCCCACTGCCTCCGCCCTGGAGAGCTGCTGGGGCTCTTCCAGTCACATCCCAGCTGCTGTGTGGCCTGGAGGCTGTGGTGGGAAGCAAGGCTCTGCCACCTCGGTTTCCCTCAGAGGACTGAGTGTAGCTAAGTGGGCACCAGTGCCACCGGGGGCCCCTTCTCCGAGGTTCCTGGGGGACTGCATTGTTGAGTGTTGGATTTCTCCCTGCTTTGTGTAGTGTAGCAGCTGTGCAGTTTTTCAGACCTAACTTGAAATGGTTAGAAATTTTGTATACTGGAATTTTCCTACTCTGTTTTTATGTTCATGGTTCATCCTAAATATTTGACGCCTAGTTCAGTATCTAGAAGTCCAATTTTGTTGCTGCAGAACGGGCATAAATATTATTGCTGGATTGTTCTGTAATGAAATTGCTTTGTTTCACTCCCATTTTAATATGTTTTTGTGTAGGAAACTTCTTTGCTAGGTTCCTTTCTGAAGTAGACACTTCCTGCCCTGGGTAGAAGGTCCCTGGCTGTGCACCACTGTTTAGTAACAACTGTTACTAAATCTGTTTTTTATTTTTTTATTTTTTTGAGACAGAGTTTTATTGTGTAGTCCAAGCTGGCCTTGAACTCACTGTGTAGTCCAGGCTGGCCTCTAATTGGCGGTGATTTCCTGCCTCGGCCTCCTGAGTGCCGGGATTACTGGCATGCCTTATTACACCTGGTGTGTTGTTAGTTTTTGGTAACCATGTTGCATAAATTATTTCTGGTTGCCCGTGTTTTTATTTGGTTTGGTTTGCATTCATTTTTGGTCAGTTACTGCTGTCCTAATCAAGTGGGGTTTAAAATTTTATGTTGCTGTTCATGGCATTTGTCTTTCTTTCTTTCTTCCTCTTTTTTTTTTTGGTACCGGGGATCAAACTCAAGACCTTGTGCTTGCCAGGCAGGCACATACGTTATTGAGCTAAATCCCTGATGTGTTTGTCTTTATATTAGTAATATCAAGTGGAGAAAGCTTAATTTGGCTTTTTTCCCCCTCAAACCTTATCCTGTGGTTTGTTCCTATCTCTGGGGTTTTATTTCCTCTGGACTAACACAACTCTGCATCTCAGCAAGAGCTTTGCCTGTGGGGTGCATTGAAATTCAGGCGTTGCGTGCCTGCTAATCCTGCCCTTCGTTGCCATGCCCCTGGCATGGGGGTTCCACCTCTGCTGATCCGGGTCACCTTGCTCTGCCACATGTGCACACAGTTGTGCGGAGCTGTGTCGAGTACTCCTAGTGAGGCGCTGCATGCAGGGGCTGTGTGCAGGGCTGCCTGCTTGGGAGCCGGGGCTGGGGGCCTGGCGAACAGTGCTGTCTCGTCCAGAAGACCCCGCAGTGCGAGGCCGCCTGACCGAGTGCCTGGAAACTATTCTGAACAAGGCACAGGAGCCACCCAAGTCCAAGAAGGTGCAGCATTCCAATGCCAAGAATGCCGTCCTCTTCGAGGCCATCAGCCTGATCATCCACCATGACAGGTAGGCCTGTCTGCTGCACTTCTGTGTCAACGGCGCTGCGGGGTGCACCAGCACCTGTCCCTAATCAGATCTGACATGAAGTTTCCTCAGCACCCCGCCTCTCATGTAAGCCCGTTTCTTCCCTTTCCCTCTCCCATCTGTCTCCAGCACCTCCCTGGACCCCAGCATCCTTCCCCACTGTTCCTCTTATCCCTGGACAGAGGCTTTGCTGGGCTCTGAGCAGCTTGCCATGCTGGCCTCGGGCCTCCTGGGGCTAAGGTGGTGACCAAACCCATGGTCCAGTGCAGAAGGCGGGCTGTTCTCACAGCCTGGGGTTCCCTGACTACCTCCTCACGTTCTCTGTGTGTAGCCGTAGGGGTCATAGGCAGCAGCGAAACTAGCAATCACAGTGTGTCTTGACAAATGTCCTCTGCTGAGACCAGCACCCTTAGAGCTGCACTTTACCAGGGTTGGGAGCTGTGGAGACAGTTTGGGAACCAGCGACCCTTCTACCTTCATTAGCATTACTCAGAAACCACACCACAAGAGGCAGGAGGGCCTGTCCTAGTTACTTTTCATGTTGCTGAGACAAAATACCAGGTATCCACGAGTTAAAGAGGGAAAGGTTTATTTAGCTCAGAGTGTGTGAAGGTTTCAGTCCACAGTCACCTGGCTCTCCAAGGCAAGGCAGCACAGCAGAGGGCAACAGCTGATGGCAGTGGAAGACAACAACAGCAACAAGGGGGAGAGGTAACAGCTTCTTCCCATGCCTGATATCTATAGGCAGGCTAGGATGGGTGTAGCGCTCACACTCTTAATCCCAGCACTAGACGATGAGCCAACCACAAACTAAATTCAGCTACCTCCAGAAAGCTCACTCCCACGACTGCGTGAGGCTTTGAAGAATGTCCAAGCACAAACTGTAACAGGACCTGCGGAGCCCTGGGCTGCGTCCTGGGAATTTGCCCTGTGTTAGGCACAGCCCAAGCCTCTGGGCTATCGAAGTCAGAATTGGGGCTCAGGAGGGGATATGCGGCCAGCTCCAGGGTGGTGGGTACAGCAGACCCTCTAGGGGCCGTGAGGTGGTGGACAAGAGCTTAAGCTCGGGGTCCATGTGGGGCACCATGTGCTGGGCCACTATGTGGCACATGAGGGCCTTGATTCTGGCTTCCAGGCCAGAGTGGGGGTTCTGGAGTGCAGGTGCTGAGGGAGCCCCCGCCGTGTCTCCCTTCTCCACACAGTGAGCCCAACCTCCTGGTGCGGGCCTGCAACCAGCTGGGTCAGTTCCTGCAGCACCGTGAGACCAACCTGCGCTACCTGGCGCTGGAGAGCATGTGCACGCTGGCCAGCTCCGAGTTCTCGCATGAGGCTGTCAAGACCCACATCGACACTGTCATCAACGCCCTTAAGGTGAGGCCAGGGAAGGCGGGTTTCCTGTCACTGCTGTCCCCAGATGGCAAGAGAGTTGTTGCATACCCTGTGCCTCTGGTCAATCGCTGTCCGTAGGCTGAGCCTGTCCCTGCATGGCCCTGTCCTCCTTGTCAGCATCCTGAGTCCTAGCTTGTTGTTTAGTGGGCAGAAAACGTTCTGCTTTGGGTGGAAAGATGAAGTGCTTTTTTTTTTATAGGTGCTGGGGATCAAACCCAGGATCTGTATACTGAGCTGCATCTCCGGCAACTTTTTCTTTTTTCTTTCTAATTTTGAGACAGGGCTTTGTTAGTCGCTAAGTTGCCTAGGATGGGCTAGAACTTGTGATCTTAGCCTTCTAGAGTACAGGTGTACACCACTGTGTCTAGCTGTCTGTTGTTCTCATCTCCAAGGAAATATACTAATTTCAAGGAAGGTTCACTGTGTCAGGGACTTGAAGTGTAAGGGTTTAAGACCTTGGAGCTATGAGAGCTGATGGGGCTGTCTGTTCTTGCTGCCAGCCTGACATCCCTGAGGAACTATCAGGCCTAGCACAAACTGGCTGGGCAGTGCTGCTTATTAGCACGAGCAACAGGGCTGTGAGCCTGGCGCTGGCATGGGCTGGCCTGGGTGTGACCCCTGTTGTTGTGGGTGTGATGAAGGCGTTCAGGGCCCGCTGACCTCAGGTGCTGCCTGATGGCTGTGGTCACCGCAGTCATTCCAGCCCTTGTGGGGCCCTCTCGGTCCTGCCTTGAGTAGGCCCTACCCCTCCTTGCCTTTGCCATCTTATTTCTGTGCTGATTGTTGAGAGCTCCCAGGTGACTGGTGGGTGGCATCTGTGACCACACAATGGAGGCCCTTGACCCCATTGGGAGCAGGTGGGGGTGGGGGTGAGGGTGCTAGTCAGGTTCTGGCAGCCTGGAAGTCAGGTTGAAGGCACACGCCTGCAGGGCAGGACCTCATGGATGCTGCTGATGTCACATGTGTGGTTGTGACTCTACCTTGTTACCAGACGGAGCGGGATGTAAGCGTGCGGCAGCGGGCCGTGGACCTGCTGTATGCCATGTGCGACCGTAGCAATGCCCAGCAGATTGTGGCTGAGATGTTGAGTTACCTGGAGACAGCTGACTACTCCATCCGTGAGGAGATCGTGAGTACCATGCCAGGCACTGCTTGTAATGCTGTTTGCTTGGTGCCTGCCATTCTGTGTCTCCGCTGGCTTGTGCACATGCTGCGCGTGTGCTGCAATGCTCACACCAGCATTGGTAATAGTGTTGTGCCTGTCTTTGAGTGTGGCAGGCTGTGGTGGCTGCTGGCAGGCAGGCACACTGGGATCCCTGGTCCCTTCCCTGTGGCCCATTTGTGCTCAGGCCATGAACCTTCTCTGGTGCCTGCTGCAGGGCCAGTTTTCCTTGTGTCTCTGACAAGGAGGGGGTCCGTGGAGCTTGTGCTGTGGTCCTAGGCTGCGCACTGACTCCGGGGAGAGGACTTGCAGCCCCAAAGCTTCAGGGAGGGGCCTATCCCACCTGCTGGTCCCCTGGCTGGTGCCGGTTTTTCCATGGTCCTTGGCTCCCATAGCAGTGGACATTGGGGTGGTAGTGGCTCCATCTCTAGGGTCATGAGTATCTCTGAGACCTGCATACCCCAGTGCTAGGTGCTTCTGAAGTCTCAGGAGGATTTGATATGGGTTGTCCTGGGCATTGCTGTTGGCCTGCTGGCTTCTTCTGACCAGCCTACCCCGCAGGTGCTAAAAGTGGCCATCCTGGCTGAGAAGTATGCGGTGGACTACACCTGGTACGTGGATACCATCCTGAACCTGATCCGCATCGCAGGGGACTACGTCAGTGAGGAAGTGTGGTACCGCGTCATTCAGATTGTTATCAACCGTGATGATGTGCAGGGCTATGCCGCCAAGACGGTGTTTGAGGTAAGGCTGGGTCCTCGAGGCAGGGAGGCAGGGCGTCCCATAGGTGGTGATGCCGAGGAACTTGTGGGAGACCCTTATCTGCCTTTCTGCTGTCTGAGGTTTGGACTTCTCTGACTGGTGCTCAAGTCTGTTGGGGAGGGGCACTGTAACTCCTGAGGGGCCTCTGTGAAAGCTGCTTTTGTCTGTGTCCTCTGCCTTTGGCCTTGAGAGGGCATGAAGGACCTGCTGTGGCCTTAAGGGCAGTGCTGGCCTACTGGTCCTCCCCCAGGTTCAGGGTTCCAGCTGCCTAAGGTTTCTAGGGTCTTTGGGAAGGTTTGGAGGGAAGCGCACTGACATCATATGCCTCAAAGTACAGGTCCCTGTCCTTGCTTCTGCCTTGCTGCTGCTGGATCCTTCTGGGTGCAGCTACCTGGGCCCTGGCTCACTGGGTTCATGGTTCCACAGGCTCTGCAGGCCCCTGCATGCCACGAGAACCTGGTCAAAGTGGGCGGCTACATCCTGGGAGAGTTTGGAAACCTGATAGCTGGGGACCCGAGGTCCAGGTGAGTGCCCTAGCTGCAGGGCTGATGTGTGATGTGCGTCTGTCCAGGGAGCTGCTGCCATCGTTTGCCATCCTGTTCACTCTGGCCGGTCCCTGGCAGGGCTCTGGGGAAGTGTGGAGATGTGGCCCAATGAGCCTGGAACCAGGATATGACTTTGTGGAGCCAGCCTGTGCTCTGGGGCTCTGAGTGCCATCCTTCCTGCCTGCAGCCCGCTGATCCAGTTCAACCTGCTGCACTCCAAGTTCCACCTGTGCAGCGTCCCCACGCGGGCCCTGCTACTGTCCACCTACATCAAGTTTGTGAACCTGTTCCCCGAGGTGAAGGCTACCATCCAGGATGTGCTGCGTGGTGACAGCCAGCTCAGGAATGCGGATGTGGAGCTGCAGCAGCGGGCTGTGGAGTACCTGCGGCTCAGCACTGTGGCTAGCACCGACATCCTGGTATGGCGCCTGACGGGCAGTGCCCTGGGCTGGGACCGCCTGCCCACCACCTGATGCCACCTTCCTGCCCAGGCAACAGTGCTGGAGGAGATGCCGCCTTTCCCCGAGCGTGAGTCCTCCATCCTGGCCAAGCTCAAGAAGAAGAAGGGGCCGAGCACAGTGACCGACCTGGAGGAGGCCAAGCGGGAGCGCAGTGTTGATGTGAATGGGGGTCCCGAGCCTGCCCCAGCCAGCACCAGCGCTGTGGTGGGTCCCCCACGCCCCGGAACCCAGTGCGGGCAGCAGGGTGTATACCACACCCAGGCCCTGATGTGGCTGCGGGTAGTCTCTGGGGCAGGTTGGCTCCACAGCCCTGTGTTCCTAGCTGTTTCCTGCAGCAGTCTCTGCTCTGTGGTAACAACCTGCCCTGCCTGGTCCTCAAGCGCATGCTGTGGTGCCCTGCAGAGGGGTTGGTGGAGGAAAGTCCACCTCCATGGCTGTGCTCATGTCCTGCTCGTATCCTCCTTCCTTTGTGTTGCTCACTGGTATGCGGGGGGGATGGGTCTCTCTGACATACTGTGACAGCTGGTGTCTGAGCCCTGGTGCACTCTGCAGGGCTGCCTCATGGGCAGCTGTGACTGTGTGTTCTCATCTCAGGCACCTGCACCTGGCAGCCCCCAGGGGCTGTGCTGCCCAGTCCTGCGCATCCCTAGGTGGGGGATGGACTTTGACAGCAGGTGTGTTTCTCCTCGAAGCCCCTTCCTCTCCGAAGCCCCGAAACCCTGAGGCCCCTGCGTGAAGGGTTGGCCCTCAGAGCTTGCTATGCTCTGGAGCTGGGCCTTTGGCTGTGTGGGGCCCTGAGACAGCACGGAGAGCCTCTGGGGATGTTGCCAGTTAGGCAGTCGCCTGGAAAGGATCCTGGGACAGCAGTGACATTGGGAACTGCATGAGCTGGGGGTTACGAGCCCAGGGCATCCTCTGCTCCTGATGGGCTGCCCAGCAAGTGTCCCCTCCTGTGAAGGTGTGTCCCCTGGGCTCTGGGCTTCCTGCCAGGGGTAGAGGTGCTTCTCCTTTGGGACAGCATTGACTAGAATGACTGTTGAAGGCTGTGATGACATCAGAACAAGTTCTTTGCAGTTGTCTCTTCTGCTGCAAGCTCCACGGAGGGTCCGGCACATCTGCTTGTTGTTGCTGTACCCGTGGGTCTGCCTGTAGCTCTGACACCCCAGGCTGCCTCTCACTGTGTGCATGGCTGCTTTGGTACTTGGGAGTGCTGGCTGCTCCTTTATAGGGTGCCTGCCCTCAGAACTTGCAGCTCCTGGGCCACGAACTGCAGGCATCTTTGAGCCATGTTTGAGCAGTAGTAAAATTAGGGGAAACTGGTGAGAGAAGGTCCCTGTCAGCAGGGGAACCACACCAGGGCAGCATCCTTCCAAGTCCTGGCCCTGGTAGGCATGCCTGCTGTACCCCTGGACCTCCACTCTCTCAGGCCGCATGTGACAAGGCCATCTGGGTGCCACTCTCAGAGGCCCCTTGAGGGAGTGTACAGCCACAGGAGGCCCAGAACCTGCTATGTCCTTGGCCCCCACATACCCCTCTTGGGGCTTGGCCAGCTTGCCCAGCCTACCTAGCCTGCCCAAGGTTCTCGACGGCCTGGGGTTCTGTCTGGTTACGCCAACGACCCCTGCAGAACATGAGCTTCACAACACCTCTTGTATGTTTTTTGTTGTTAAGAGACGGGTTTGCTGTGTAGCCCAGGCTGGAATGAGGTGATCCTCTTGCTTAGCCTTCCCAGTTCTGGGATTGCAGGCATACCCCAGCACACCAGGCTTTCGCCCATTTGTCTTATAGCGACAGTTGTACAACCATGTAGCTGTATGGACACAGCCTAACATTCCATCTCACATGCCCACTTGTGGTGTGTGCTGGGAGGCTACCAAACAGATGTCCCAGGTCAGGGCCATGGGCCAGGCTCGGGAGTGAGGCAGTGACCTTGTCTTTGTGGTTGCCCAGTGGGAAGGAGGGAACCAAGGCTGGAGCTTGTGCCTCTAGGGGTGACCCTGAGTGCCTTGCTGTCCCATGGTCCCTCGGAGCCTGAAGGGTCGGCTTGGGTTGGTGTAGGCCACAGCTTCTGGCCTCACGCTGTGTGGCAGTGCCAGCCTCTCATCCTGTACTTTGGCAGGGATGGAGAAGTGGTTGTTAGTCAAGTGTGTGTCTAGAGGGTTTTGTCTGCTTTTCCTCCTTAATAGACAGAGCTTGATGATGAACATGTTTGTGCCCAGTTGTACTTCTGAAGTCTTCTTACTGGGCAGACAGAGCTGCCACTGGTACCAGCCTGTGGGAAGGTGTTAACGCTAAGGATGAACATGGAAAGTCATCCTCTAGCTAGACTTTCTTCCTGGGCAGTCTCTTTAGTAGCAGAAACTTTTCCAGCACTGTTTCACTCACGTGTCACGTGCTGCCACTGTCTTGTGTCACGTGTAGCTGTTGTGGCCGTCCCATCCTTGGCTTGAGCCTGGTAGGCTCTTCACATAGGACGCCTGTAGGAGGTGGGCATGGGCACAGTAGATGGCCCAGGCACCCATAGCCCAGTGCTGACGTTCTTGCTCCTTTTTCAGTCCACGCCTTCTCCATCTGCTGACCTGCTGGGACTGGGGGCTGCTCCCCCAGCCCCCACAGGGCCTCCATCCTCAGCTGGTGGGCTGTTGGTCGACGTCTTCTCCGACTCCGCCTCAGCCATCGCACCCCTGGCTCCTGGCTCTGAAGACAACTTTGCTAGGTAACTGGCTTTCCCGAGCCTGATGGCCTTGGCCTGCACAGCCTTGGTCCCATGTGTCATTGCCACACCAACCTTTGAGACCTGCTGGGGACTCACAACAGCTAAGTCCTTAGGAGATGGGTGGTGGGGAGAGTGGCGAGGGGGCCGTTCTTGGGGCCTGGAGGCTGCTGCTTCTGCTGGCATTGGGCTCTAGCACCCACCTATTCTCTCCAAGGCTGCTGCATGAAACTCAGGTGCCCTTGTTTTGAGGTTTTTTTGTGGTACTAGGGATGAGTGAACCTAGGACCTCTACACTGATGATCTTATAACCCACCCTTTAGTTTTAGAAGGGAGAAAGTTTATTTAGCTCACAGTTTGAAGAGCTTTCAGTCCATGTGGCTCCAAGGTAGGGTGGCACGTGGCAGAGGGCAGTACTTCATGATGGTGGAAGACAACAAAAGCAACAAGAGCAAAAGGCTTATTTTTTATTTTAAGGTCTTATTTAGTCACTAAGTTACCCAGTCTGGACTTGTCAGCCTCCCTAGTGCTGGGAATATAGGCATATGGCACCAGGCCTACCTGGCCCTTGGCTTGCACAGTGGCCCTGCCCATTAACCTGGAAGCCATCTCATGGCTGGGCTCCTCTCCAGGGCTCCACAGTGTGCTGGTGCTGGTGCATGGAACAAGGGACCACTGCTGAGTTTGTGTTTGCCTTGGGGCTGTCTCTTCAGGCCCCAGCAGGCAGAGTGGGTGGGCCGCAGGAGAACAGCTCTCCTACAGGGTGCAGGTGCTTGCTGGCTGGTCAGGGACCCCTTGAGAAGCAGCCTGCCAGGCAGGGCTTCTCTCTCACGCAGCCTGGGCCCAGTGTGTGACCCAAGCATGTCTGCACTGACCTTGCTGTACCACCCTGAGTGCTGGGCTGGGTTGGCGATTGGCTGTGGTAGATGGGTGTGCACGCTCGCACACATTCCCCGGACACTTACCCCTGGGTGTCCTCAGGCAGTACTTCCTGTCCCTGGCCTCGCCCAGCCTACCCAAACACGAGGGGTTATTCGCTGCTCACTCCAGGTCTGGGTCTTAGGAGTGGTGGCCACTTTGTCCTTTGCTGTCTACCCAGCACTGTCCTTGTTTGTGTTCTCTAACTGCTTTTCCAGAACAAATCCTTGTATCCAGTGGGTGGCCTTGAATGACGTGCACACTGTTCCTTTTCCCCTAGGTTTGTGTGTAAAAATAACGGTGTGTTGTTTGAAAACCAGCTGCTTCAAATTGGACTTAAGTCTGAATTTCGGCAGAATCTCGGTATGTTTTTAGTTACTTAGTGAAGGTCCCTGGGGGTGGTGAGAGATGTTTGCAGATTGTGTGCTGGCCAAATATGAACATCTGGAACGTGGGAGGAGCTGCACACATGGCCTGGTTACCCGGTCCACACCCACATGCGCAAGGTGTGGGCAGTGGTGGGGGGCAGATTCGCCCTGGGATGAAGCAGGCAGATGAGGCAGGCAGCAGTGAGCATGCATGATGCTCACACCACGAGCACAGTGTCAGTGGGCGTGGAGCCCTGCCACCCTGTCTTGAGGGGCGCAGGTGGGGAGGATGCTGTGGAGTATGGTGGGTGGCCCCTTGGGCGTAGATCTAGCCAACTTGAAGCCAGGGTCTGGAGAGATGCTGGGGCTGGAAGAGCTGGTGGGTTCAGTGCAGAGGAAGCAGCTGAGCCTCAGTCCATAGGCAGCCTCACAGATCCCAGGGGGCAGGTCCTGTGTGCCTCACTCATGGGATGTCCAGAGTGGGCTGGCTGGCCCAGATGAGGACACGCTGGAGACGGGCAGTGCCACTGGCTGCACACAGTGTGGATGGGCTTGGTGCTCTGACCCTGAGTTTAAATGCAGCTGAAATGGAGCATTTTGGATAATGTGTCCTTTACCACAATTAACAAAAAAGAAAAAAAACATTTTTGAGTTCGAAAAGAAAAAGTTAAACTCTACCCACCACTGGTCACCACGGTGGACTCTGTATCCTGGTGAGAACCTCAGAGGACTCTGGGAGTTGCGTGCTACACAGCGTGCCTTCTGTGCTCAGCTTGACCATGCCCACACTGGGACATCTTGGCTTTCCAGGGCTGGGTTTGCTCTTTGGATTGTGCTAAATGATGCCAGAGAGCCTTTGTGGTTCCCCTTCCCTTCACACATATCCTCTCAGAGCTGTGTCACCCTACTGTGCTTTCACCAGCTGTGGCAGCAGTCCATGCCTTGTATGCCTGGCACGGGGCTGGCAGCTGGCACCTGAGGGTGATCCAAATCTGGGCAGCCCTAACTGGGCCAGCTGGTAAGTGTGGGTCTCGCAAGGCACCCTGGCACTGGGTCAGTGGGAGCATGTGCATGGTGCAGCTCAGTACCTGCCAGCACCCAGCATGACCCCGTATCATGAAAGAAGGCCTGGGATAGTCCCTGATGGGAGAGATCCCCCTGGCCAGGGACACCATCCTGTCTTTAGGATGAGAAAAAGTTCGTTTTTAACCTAACAGCAGTTGGAGGTCACAGCAGTTAAGTGCAGTGGTGTGGAGGGGATGCTGGGTTCACGGGAGTGTTCAGCATGTGTGTGCGGTGTTCTGTTTTCTTCCAGGCCGAATGTTCATATTTTATGGTAACAAGACCTCCACGCAGTTCTTAAACTTCACTCCAACACTGATCTGTGCAGATGACCTGCAGGCTAATATCCTTGGCTCTGCCCAGTCAGATGGACTGACAGACAGATGTGGGGGTGGACTGTGATCTGGGAGTTGATAGCTGGTTTGGCCAGAAGGGCAGGATCTTCCCAGGGGCTGTGGCCATTGAATGCTGTCCCTGCCTGGGAGCTGGCTCTGGTGCGTCGCTCTTTGGCGTGGGTTACTTCCTCTGTGCCCCTTTGTTGTTCCAGATGTTGCTTGTTGCTGGGGAGCCCCATGGCTCCCTGTCCTGGCAGGCCTGTGGCTGCAGCTGATAGTGGAGCACATATTCCCAGGGACGTGGGTGTTGGCTGCGTTCACACTGAAGTGTGCCCCTCCCTCTAGCCTGCCTGGTCTGTGAGGTGTGTAGCTTGCCTGGTCTGTGAGGTGTGTGAGAGGCCCCAGCTCAGCAGAGAAGAGCGCCGCATCCCTGTGTATGGCTGTCCCCTGGGACAGCAGTGTCCTGCAGGGTGAGGACCCTGGCCAGGGAGGTGACATCTTCCTATGGGCTCACAGTCGGATGTGTGGAGCAGGAGCTCCTCATGAGTGTGCCTGTGTCCACACCCAAGTTTTTACCTGGACCCTTGCAACCATAGACAGACATGCAGGTCACGTGTTGAAGGCTCCATCCATCATCAGGCCTAAGTTTGTCACCACCTAGTCACTCAGAGTGTTCCCTCCCAGGGCTTCTGGAGTGCAAGTCCCCTGGGCCCTGCGCCCTGCAGCTCATGGGTACTGGGTCCAGAGGACAGAGCAGCTGTTCCCACCTACCTGCAAATCCAACCTTGATATCCCTATCTTTTTAAAATTGTGTTCTTTTCACTTTCGGTCTTTTCTCTTTCTCATTGTTTCTTTCTTTCTGAGACAGGGTTTCATACCTAATTCAGGCTGGCCTTACACTCACTGTGTAACCCAGGCTGGCCTTGACCCTCCTGCCTCAGCCTCCTGAGTTCTGGGGTAACAGGTGTGCACTACTGGCCCTGCTGCCATGGGTCAGTGTTCAGCATTGGCTGTGGGGAGGCCCTATACTGCATGCATGCAGCAGTTGGCAGCACCCTCAGAAGAGGCTTGGCACCCCAGAGCTGTCATTGACTGAGACAGTGAGCATAGGCTTCCCTCAGCCACAGCAGCCAGCATGCCAAGGCCCCGGGGAAGCCAGGCCAAGCAGCTAGGTTAGGTGTGTTGCCCATGGGCTGCAGGACAGGGAATAGGGTGCCAAGGGCTGAGGGTAGCAGCGTGTGACCGTCTCAGCAGGCTGTGCTGTGGCTCCTGCCATCTTACCTTCCCTGGCAGAGCTGGACTCCTTAACGCGCCTACATCTGAACCTGCAGACCAAGCCTGTGGACCCGACTGTGGACGGGGGTGCGCAGGTGCAGCAGGTGGTCAACATCGAGTGTGTGTCTGACTTCACAGAGGCGCCAGTCCTCAACATCCAGTTCAGGTGAGACCAGATACCAGGAGCAGGCTGGTGCGTGGCAGTGCCTCGCACCTGTGTGGCATGGGTTGCCATTGCCTGTGGTGCTCAGAGTGTGAGGTAGGAAGGGGCATGGCCCTGACCCTGCTGCAGCCCGCAGGGCCTTGGTGCTGCTGTGTGGCCAGTGAGCTGGCCAGAAGGGCAGGATCAGGCACAAGTGGGTACCAGGTCCTGTGTGGCGCCTGAGGGCTGTGGGCCCCTTGGACCAGGCCGGGACATTGACAGAGCCCCCTGCTCCTCCCGTGGCAGTGAGGACAGCAGTGTGTGTGCCAGGCACTGTGAGGTAGAAGTGTTCAGGGAGCACATTCTCCAGTGTTAGAACAGCAGACTTAGCAAATCTTTTCTTCGGATGGTTTGTGGGGAAGAAACCTACATGAGCTTCAGACTTGGTACCTGGGAAAATGACCAGTGGGAATGGGAGGTGGTGGTGGGAGACCTGGCACCCTGCTGGCTTGTTTGGCCTTCATCAGCAGTAGGGGGCCTGACAGGGAGAAGTGCTGTGCTCCTAGTGCTGGCACTGAGTGGTATGGCCCTGGCTTTGCCTGCCTGCAACTGTGCTTGGTGGAGTGGGGTGCGCGCAGGGTTGTCCTTGGTCCTCTGGACACTTCCGGCTCTGCCAACAGGGCAGCCGCACTGGCTTACAACAGGGCACCTCATGGGAGCTGCCTGCCCCTCCACGGGGTCTCTGGCTGCCCTTCGCTCTGCCAGTGTAGCATTCTCTGTAGGTATGGTGGCACCTTCCAGAATGTGTCTGTCAAGCTGCCAATCACACTGAACAAGTTCTTCCAGCCTACGGAGATGGTGTCTCAGGACTTCTTCCAGCGCTGGAAGCAGCTGAGCAAGTGAGAGGCCGCATGGGTGGTAGGACACAGGTACCGTGGCAGGTGGTGGTCACAGCTGGTGTGGCTGGCACTGACCCTGTGCTGTTGCTTGTAGTCCTCAGCAGGAAGTGCAGAACATCTTCAAAGCAAAGCACCCGATGGACACAGAGATCACCAAGGCAAAGGTGAGTAGCCACGCAAGTATCATGATAGGCACAGTGGTGGCACTAAGGGATGCTGTGCCCAGCACCTGGGTCCAAATCTAACTACTCCTGGACAGATCATTGGATTTGGATCAGCACTCCTTGAAGAAGTTGATCCGAACCCTGCAAACTTTGTCGGCGCTGGCATCATTCACACCAAAACCACTCAGATCGGATGCCTGCTGCGTTTGGAGCCAAATCTGCAAGCTCAGGTCAGTGCTCTGAAGGAGACAGAGGTTAGGGCAGGTTCACTGCAGTGCTACTTGTGCAGGGTGAGTGGGGCTCCTAAAGGTGGCTCAGTGTGGATGGATAGATGCTCATGTGGCCGTCCCTGTCTCACATGCCTCAGGAATGGCCTGTGAGCTACTGCAGTGTGCCTTCCTGGCCATCTGCCCGCTTGGCTTCATGCTGGCCATGTACTCTGTGCTGTCACCCTCCTGCCATGTCCTGCATGGGGTCAGTATGTTGGCCCTCAGGGTGCATAGCTGGCTCCTTGGGATGGCACAGTTGGCCACATTAAGAAGCTGCCAGACCACTTTCCAGAGTGCCGTGGTGGCTGGCCTCCCCCATGCCCAGAGCTGCCTTCTAGCACATAGCGAGGCAGCCCTGGGTGGCTTGGGCCTGGGAGGCAGCTGCCCGGGAGGTGTGTGTGGCACTGGACACCTGATTCTGCTCTCTGTTGCAGATGTACCGGCTCACGCTGCGCACAAGCAAGGACACCGTCTCCCAGAGGCTGTGTGACTTGCTATCTGAGCAGTTCTAACCCCGTGCAGCAGTTGGGTTGTATGTGTTGTTTCCCTTCGTCTCTGCCACTGTCTTGGTGACCACACTGCACATAGCACCCTCGTCTGAGCATCTCAGCACCAGGGCCTGCACCGCATCTCCCTCCGGGCCCCGCGACACAGATGAGACATGAAGGGGCCATCAACAGGGACCGCAGCAGGCCTGCCTGTCCGAGGAGGGACTTGGATTTGGGAAGTTGAGGCAGCCTGTGGCTTAGTCTTCAAATTAAAGGGAAAGTAGAAGTTTGAATGAAAGTGGGAATTCTGTGGAGGTTTATTGAGTGCTGCTGTCCCTTCCTCATCCCAGGAGCTGGGGGTAACACTGGTTACTGGAGGTGTGGGACTGCCCTGGGCTAAGTTGTGTGTCCCTATGGCCAGCTGCAGCACCACTGGACGCTTTCTGGGTGACATTTTAAACCTAGGCAGCTGTAAGTGTTCGTGTTTCAATGTGCTCTGCCTGTTGACAGGACCGTTTCCAGCATAGTCTTCTTGAGGGTGCTTGTGACATTAAGCCTGCATTTTTGAGGGTGGGGGCTGCTAGTGGCTCTGGAGGGCAAGGGCACAGCTCCTTTCTGGTCAAGTGAGTGCGGTGTTCCTGTAGTGCACTGAGGTCTTGGGTCACATCGCTGTGGAGATGTCTGGGCATGCTTGTGCCTCCCTGCTAGTGGCCCTCACCCATCAGGGTGGTGTCCTCTGGCCCCATGGTGCTGGTCACAGGCCTGAGTGCCGCAGACTCACACCCATGCAGTTGCATCTTGAGGGGGTAGAGGAAGAAAGCCTGAGTCTAGCAGGAAGTGACGAGGCCAGGTGAGGTGGCAGCCTTAGACAGTTTGCAGAGACTGCACCAGAGGGCGTGGCCCACATGCCAAGGCCTCACAGTCACCCTTGTGGGCAGCAGGACCGTAGGCAGGATAGAAGGTGGCCTCAGGAGCAGCCTTGGAGTGTACCCAGGCCTGGGTTCCACATAGACAAACCTGGGTGGTGGCGTCCTGAGCACGCTCCATGCTGGACACCATCAGCCCTGGTTCTCCATGCACAGGTGTGGCTGCCCACCCAGGTGGCACCTGGCCTTGTTCTTGGACCACCACTCAAGGTTCCCGCAGTCCCATGCTGTGGATCCTGTGTCCCTAGCTTTAGAGCACTCAGTCTACATCTTGGCCCCGTGTCTGCTGGACCCTAGGGTGTGACCAGCAGGTGATCCGTGCCTGTGTGGCCGTGGCTCATGCCTCCAGGCATCCCTGCTGATCTCGGGTCAGAATGTACCCCAGAACCGAAGGGGCTGCTATGGGGTCCAGCCCTGCCCTCTGCCAAACAGAGTGTCATCCTGCAGTGTGCTTTTTTCCAGAAGAAAATAAACACTAGAGCAGAGCCTGGCGCGTGCGTGTCGTCTTTCGGGGGAGCATCCTGCCGAGCCCTTAATGTCCACCCTGTTGGTGCCATGCAGTGCTACCCACCAGACCTGTGCTACTGTGCACAGCGGTTGCCTAGAGGTGTGGGTATGGGGACCTCAGGAAGTAATGTGCCTTTGCTCCACCAGTGTGACTCAGCCCCTGGCCCAGGGCTGCTTGTGGTAACCTGGCCTGACTCAGGGTGATGGTGGACCTTCCTGATGTCCTCAGGCCTGGCTGATGTCTCCAGCCTGACTGGTCCTGGCCTAAGGCTCTACGAGGTCCCTCAAATGGGTGTGGCTGGGCTGATGTCCTCTAGGCCACCTGCTGGAACCTGGGATGAATGGCCCAGGGCTTCCTTCCAGGGGTATCCTGCTCAGCTGGGCCCAAGGTGCAGGAAGGCCCTCAGGCCAGAGGTGACCTTTCCCATCCAGCCCCATCAGACCCAGGTAGCAGCGACAGCAGTGCTCACAGATCTCTGCCTCACAAGAACCAGTTTATTTGGAGTTGGCTGGTTGTTGGCAGTGGCTTCTTGGGAAGGCCCGGGTCCTGTGGGTGTGGGGGTGTCTCACACCTCTTGTCCTCCTCGGGTCTTCACTGTATGTGATGCTCAGCCTGTGCAGGTACCCACACTGCCCAATCAGCCTTGTCTTCCCTTCCTGGCCTCTGCTCCATATCTCTAGGCCTCACCCGGGACTAGGATGGGGGTGAGAGGGGTGGGGGTAGGGGCACCTGCCCTTGTCCCTTGACCTATGACCTTGTGCCTCTATTCTCCACAGTGCTGGCGTCCACACACACAGCTGTGGACCACCTGCACGGTGAGCGTGAGCAGCTGGCTAGGTGAACTGGGGTCCTGGCAGGGCAGGAGGAGCTCTTGCATGTAGAAGCTGAGGGGCCGGCAGCAGCCACAGTGGATGTCCAACTGCTGGGTGGTGACATTGAAGCTGCCAAGAGTAGAGAGGGGCAGGTGAGATGACCCTGGGGCAGGAGCCTCAAAAGTGTTTTCTGTTGACCTCTGTTCCAGGGCAGTCACAGCCAAGCATGTGGCACCCAGGGATCTGCCAGGCTGCTTGGGCTCTGTGGGAAGAGGGTCTGGAGTGGCTCACCTGGCAGAGGAGGTGCAGACGCCCTCACAGTGGGTCATGGTCACATTGGCAGTGCAGCCCTGGTGGGTGACCACTTGCTTTCGCTCCTTCACGCTGCAGGGTTCTGGGACTAAAGGGCAGAGTCAGTCCGGTGGGTGGATCCCAGATGGTGAACAGAAGGATACCCGTCCTCCCAGCCAGACTTGGACCCTGGCTCTGCAGGGCACATTGCCCAGGGAGCCAAAGCCCCCTGCGCGCTGGACTTGGTGAGGCCCAGGAGAGGATGTGCACAGCCTAGGGGTGGAGGTTGGGGAGGGAGAGTCCCTGCTGTCCAGCTAAAGAAAGGGATGGAGAGCCCCTTCCCCTGAGCCCCTAGAAGGGCAGGGCAGGGGCCAGGACCCCCTCAGGACACAGCAGGGTGGGTGGACGTGGGGGCCAGTATTGCTGGCCTGGCAGGTGGCAGTGTGGGACTGGGGTTCGAAAGGTGAAGTAAAATGCGCCTCTATAATCCCAGCCCTCTGAGAGGCTGAAGGAGGAGGATCTCAAATTCAAAGCCAGCCTGGGCAATTTAGTGAGACCTGTCTTAAAAGGGCTGAGGATGTAGCTTAAGGTCCAGGTTTTTCAATCCTTAGTACTTCAAAATTAAATTAACCAGTAACACAAAGTTAGTAAAAGATCTTGAAACAGAAGTGATGTTCCACTCTGTATGCCTCTCCTGAGGGAGACCACCCTGTCTCCACAGAGGACTGAGTGGGGCAAGCAGGTGGGGAAGGGGCCTCTGTGCTCCCCAGCTTCTTCTGCTCCATGCCCTGCTCCCCAAGTTCACTTCCCTAGGAAATACTAGGCTCCCAATCCTCTCCAGCTGTGACAAGCCCTCTGCCCTGATAGTATGGGGGACATCCCGCCTTGGGGAGCCCCATGGTGCTGAGGGGAGCCCAACTCCAAGGAATGTGGGGTAGGTCTGGCACAAGCCTCGAACTTAGGAACTTAGGAACTGCTGCGCAGGGCAGGCAAGGGCCACGAATGTCCAGTGGGGAGTGCTGTACCTGTTCCTGCCAGCCTGCTCTGGGTGCCTGTTAAGCCCGCATTGACAGCTGGCTGTCCTTTCTTTCGGCTCCCAAGGCAGGTGACATTTCTTGGGCCTGGCACCTTGTCAGCCCCCATGTGCTGTGAGCACCCCAAGGTTTGAGTGGGGAAAGCTTCCTGGGGAAGGTGGCAGTACAAGCAGGAGTTGTGACTGCAGGACAGAGGTCACAGGCAGGAGTGAGCCAGGAGCAGGCACAAGTGCAGAAGCTGAGTGGGGCAGGCCCTCTTGCAGGCTGAGCTGGGCTCAAGAAAGAGAGCAGGCTGCAGTAGGGACAACACAGGCCCCCTGAAAAAGACAGTGTAGCACTGTCCAGAGCTAAGAGGATGCCACTTACCTGCAGAGCCTGTGGGAGAGGTCACCAGAGGGGACAGCCAGGGGCTCACAGTGGAGAGTACCTCCAGAGTGGTGGGTGACGTTGTGTGGGAGGAAACTGAGCTGGATGGGAACGTGGATGTGGGGAGGTGGGTGAACCCAGGGTACCTAGTGGTGAGGTTGGTGGATGGAGAGTGCGGGGAGGATATTGTCCCCAAGGTTGAGGACATCAGGCCAGACACAGGGGCCATGGTGGTAAGAGCGGTGGCCTGCAAGGTGGTGGCCAGAGAGGAGAAAGTGGAAGGCATGGGAACCTGGGGCGTGGTCCTGGATGTTACTAGAGAACCTGTGTTGGAGGCCAAGGAGGGAGACCATGACGCAGAGGATGTGGTGGACAGAGAGAGGGCAGGCAAGGAGACAGATGGGAAAATAGAGGGAGGCAGAGGAGAGGGACTGGAGGAAAGAGACACAGGAAGGGACAATGTGGTGGGGCCTATAGGAAGTGTGGCAGGAGGGACTATGCTTGAGGTGACAGAGGCCTGGGAAGCAGTCCTATCAGAGGGTGATGGAGATGCGGAAGAGGAAGTCAAGGGAGGAGAGGAGGAGGAGGGGGAGGAGGGAGGACTATGGGAGTTAGGAGAAGTTTTATGGGAAAAGGTAGAGGAATGTGGAAAATCAGTGGGAGAAAGAGAAGTTGAGAGGCTGGAGTGCAAAGACACAGGGGTTGAAAGGGATGAAGGCAAAGGACTGAGGCTAGAAGTGAGGAGCTGGGAAGAGGTGAGGCTGTCTTCAGGGGAGGAAGTATGTGCGTGCCCGGTACCAGTGGTAGCTGTGGTCAGTGGAGGGACTGACTGTGAACTGCTGATGGTGAAGACTGTGGCAGTGGGAAGGCTACTAGCAGGCAATGCAGAGGAGGCCGAGGATTGACTGTCTGGGGTGCTGGGTCTCTCAGAAGGTGGTGATAGCAAGGAAATGGTGACTGAGGGAGCCTCAGTAGATGTGACTGGGGACCTGGATGCAGTGGGAAAGTTGGTAGAGGTCTGGAGTGAAGTTTCTGAGGTGGGTGTGGGATATGAAGTGTGGGAGACTGACAGCGTGGAGGAGTAGGGTGTGGAGAATGCAGGATGGGCAGTGCTGGGGGTGGTAGAGGTGGTAGGGGCCACTGTGGCACTGGGCTCCATATTGCTTGGGTAGAATGATGTGCTGGTTGGATGGAGTGATGTGGATTCCAGGTGGATGGTGGAGGAAGGCTGTGTGATGTAGACAGGTGATGTCCTGGCTGTACTGAAAGACAGGTGGGCCTGTGTAGTAGAACTGGTACTAACAGTTGGTGGTGCAATGTGTGTGGTTCCTGTCACCATGGATGCTGGGCGGGCTGTAGCAGTTGGCGTCATGGTGGAAGCTGAAGACACCATGTGTTGACTAGTTGTGGTGCTGTCAGATGTGGGAGATACCAAAGAGGTGGTGACTACTGTAGACTCACTGGGAGGCTGTGTCTGAGGACCAGTTGTGGTGGGAATGTTGGTGGTGGTCTGGAGGGATGTTCCTGTGGGCATGTAGTGTTGAGTGTGGGAGACTGACAGGGTGGGAGAGGAGTGTGTGGACAATGAGGTGTGGACACTGCTGGGTGCAGAAGAAGTTAGGGCCACTGTGGTGCCGGTTTCCCTACTGCTTGAGTAGGATGATGTGCTGGTGGGATGGATAGATGTGGATTCCAGGTGAGGAGTGGAGAAATGTGTGATGTGGACAGGTGATGTCCTGGTTGTACTGAATGAGAGGTGGGCCTGGGTAGTGGAACTGGTGTTGACGGTTGCTGGTAGTACAGTGTGTGTGGTTCCTGTAATCACAGAGGTTGGTTGGGTGGTGGAAGCAGAAGACACCATTTGTGGACTGGTTTTGGTGCTCTGAGGGCTTGAAGTTACCAGTGAAGTGATGACTGTTGGAGACTCACTGGGAGGCTGTGTCTGAGGAGCAGTTGTGGTGGGAATGTTGGTGGTGGTCTGGAGGGATGTTCCTGTGGGTGTGTAGTGTTGAGTGTGGGAGTCGGACAGAGTTAGGGCCATTGTGGTGCCAGTTTCCTTACTGCTGGGGTAGGAGGAGGTGGTGGTGGGATGGACCGATGTGGTTTCCAGGTGAGTTGTGGAGGAAGGCTGTGTGACATGGACAGGTGAAGTCCTGGCTGTGCTGAAGGACAGGAGGGGTTGAGAGAAGGCCTTGGTGGTGCTGATTATCGGTGGGCTGGTTGTTTTTACCTCTGTAACTGTGGTGGCAAGGTGGGTGGTAGCAGTTGGCCTCATGGTAGATGCAGAAGACACCTCATGTGGACTGGTGGAGGCAGTGTGATGGGTGGCAGTTATCGAAGAGGTGGTGACTGTTGGAACCTCAGTGGTAGGCTGTGACTGGGTCCCAGATGTGGTGGGAAATCTGGTGGTGGTCTGGAGAGAAGTTCCTGAGAGGGCAGTGGAGTGTGAAGTATGCAAGACTGACACTGTGGGAGAGGAGTGTGTGGACAATGAGGTGTGGACACTGCTGGGTGTGATGGAGGTGGTAAGGGCCACTGTGGTGCCAGTTTCTGTACTCCTGGGGTAGGAGGAGGTGGTGTCAGGATGGAGTGACGTGGATTCCAGGTGAGATGTGGAGGCAGGTTGTGTGATGTGGACAGGCGATGTCTTGGTTGTACTGAATGACAGGTGGACCTGTGTAGTGGTGACGGTTGCTGGTAGTGCAGTGTGTGTGGTTCCTGTAATCACAGAGGTTGGTTGGGTGGTAGCAGTTGGTTTGGTGGTGGAAGCAGAAGACACCATTTGTGGACTGGTTGTGGTGCTCTGAGGGCTGGAAGTTACCAGTGAAGTGATGACTGTTGGAGACTCACTGGGAGGCTGTGTCTGAGGAGCGGTTGTGGCGGGAATGTTGGTGGTGGTCTGGAGGGATGTTCCTGTGGGTGTGTAGTGTTGAGTGTGGGAGTCGGACAGAGTGGGAGCGGAGTGTGTGGATGCTGGGGTGTGGACACTGCTGGGTGCAGTCGAAGAAGTTAGGGCCACTGTGGTGCCAGTTTCCTTACTGCTGGGGTAGGAGGAGGTGGTGGTGGGATGGACAGATGTGGTTTCCAGGTGAGTTGTGGAGGAAGGCTGTGTGACGTGGACAGGTGAAGTCCTGGGTGTGCTGAAGGACAGGAGGGGTTGAGAGAAGGCCTTGGTGGTGCTGATTATCGGTGGGCTGGTTGTTTTTACCTCTGTAACTGTGGTGGCAAGGTGGGTGGTAGCAGTTGGCCTCATGGTAGATGCAGAAGACACCTCATGTGGACTGGTGGAGGCAGTGTGATGGGTGGCAGTTATCGAAGAGGTGGTGACTGTTGGAAACTCAGTGGTAGGCTGTGACTGGGTCCCAGATGTGGTGGGAAATCTGATGGTGGTCTCTAGAGAAGTTCCTGAGAGGGCAGTGGAGTGTGAAGTATGCAAGACTGACACTGTGGGAGAGGAGTGTGTGGACAATGAGGTGTGAACACTGCTGGGTGTGGTGGAGGTGGTAAGGGCCACTGTGGTGCCAGTTTCTGTACTCCTGGGGTAGGAGGAGGTGGTGTCGGGATGGAGTGACGTGGATTTCAGGTGAGATGTGGAGGCAGGTTGTGTGATGTGGACAGGCGATGTCTTGGTTGTACTGAATGACAGGTGGGCCTGGGTAGTGGAACTGGTGGTGACGGTTGCTGGTAGTGCAGTGTGTGTGGTTCCTGTAATCACAGAGGTTGGTTGGGTGGTAGCAGTTGGTTTGGTGGTGGAAGCAGAAGACACCATTTGTGGACTGGTTTTGGTGCTCTGAGGGCTGGAAGTTACCAGTGAAGTGATGACTGTTGGAGACTCACTGGGAGGCTGTGTCTGAGGAGTGGTTGTGGCGGGAATGTTGGTGGTGGTCTGGAGGGATGTTCCTGTGGGTGTGTAGTGTTGAGTGTGGGAGTCGGACAGAGTGGGAGCGGAGTGTGTGGATGCTGGGGTGTGGACACTGCTGGGTGCAGTCGAAGAAGTTAGGGCCACTGTGGTGCCAGTTTCCTTACTGCTGGGGTAGGAGGAGGTGGTGGTGGGATGGACAGATGTGGTTTCCAGGTGAGTTGTGAAGGAAGGCTGTGTGACGTGGACAGGTGAAGTCCTGTGTGTGCTGAAGGACAGGAGGGGTTGAGAGAAGGCCTTGGTGGTGCTGATTATCGGTGGGCTGGTTGTTTTTACCTCTGTAACTGTGGTGGCAAGGTGGGTGGTAGCAGTTGGCCTCATGGTAGATGCAGAAGACACCTCATGTGGACTGGTGGAGGCAGTGTGATGGGTGACAGTTATTGAAGAGGTGGTGACTGTTGGAACCTCAGTGGTAGGCTGTGACTGGGTCCCAGATGTGGTGGGAAATCTGGTGGTGGTCTGGAGAGAAGTTCCTGAGAGGGCAGTGGAGTGTGAAGTATGCAAGACTGACACTGTGGGAGAGGAGTGTGTGGACAATGAGGTGTGGACACTGCTGGGTGTGGTGGAGGTGGTAAGGGCCACTGTGGTGCCAGTTTCTGTACTCCTGGGGTAGGAGGAGGTGGTGTCGGGATGGAGTGACGTGGATTCCAGGTGAGATGTGGAGGCAGGTTGTGTGATGTGGACAGGCGATGTCTTGGTTGTACTGAATGACAGGTGGACCTGGGTAGTGGAACTGGTGGTGACGGTTGCTGGTAGTGCAGTGTGTGTGGTTCCTGTAATCACAGAGCTTGGTTGGGTGGTAGCAGTTGGTTTGGTGGTGGAAGCAGAAGACACCATTTGTGGACTGGTTGTGGTGCTCTGAGGGCTTGAAGTTACCAGTGAAGTGATGACTGTTGGAGACTCACTGGGGGGCTGTGTCTGAGGAGCGGTTGTGGCGGGAATGTTGCTGGTGGTCTGGAGGGATGTTCCTGTGGGTGTGTAGTGTTGAGTGTGGGAGTCGGACAGAGTGGGAGCGGAGTGTGTGGATGCTGGGGTGTGGACACTGCTGGGTGCAGTCGAAGAAGTTAGGGCCACTGTGGTGCCAGTTTCCTTACTGCTGGGGTAGGAGGAGGTGGTGGTGGGATGGACAGATGTGGTTTCCAGGTGAGTTGTGGAGGAAGGCTGTGTGACGTGGACAGGTGAAGTCCTGGGTGTGCTGAAGGACAGGAGGGGTTGAGAGAAGGCCTTGGTGGTGCTGATTATCGGTGGGCTGGTTGTTTTTACCTCTGTAACTGTGGTGGCAAGGTGGGTGGTAGCAGTTGGCCCCATGGTAGATGCAGAAGACACCTCATGTGGACTGGTGGAGGCAGTGTGATGGGTGGCAGTTATCGAAGAGGTGGTGACTGTTGGAACCTCAGTGGTAGGCTGTGACTGGGTCCCAGATGTGGTGGGAAATCTGGTGGTGGTCTGGAGAGAAGTTCCTGAGAGGGCAGTGGAGTGTGAAGTATGCAAGACTGACACTGTGGGAGAGGAGTGTGTGGACAATGAGGTGTGGACACTGCTGGGTGTGGTGGAGGTGGTAAGGGCCACTGTGGTGCCAGTTTCTGTACTCCTGGCGTAGGAGGAGGTGGTGTCGAGATGGAGTGAGGTGGATTCCAGGTGAGATGTGGAGGCAGGTTGTGTGATGTGGACAGGCGATGTCTTGGTTGTACTGAATGACAGGTGGACCTGGGTAGTGGAACTGGTGGTGACGGTTGCTGGTAGTGCAGTGTGTGTGGTTCCTGTAATCACAGAGGTTGGTTGGGTGGTAGCAGTTGGTTTGGTGGTGGAAGCAGAAGACACCATTTGTGGACTGGTTGTGGTGCTCTGAGGGCTTGAAGTTACCAGTGAAGTGATGACTGTTGGAGACTCACTGGGAGGCTGTGTCTGAGGAGCGGTTGTGGCGGGAATGTTGGTGGTGGTCTGGAGGGATGTTCCTGTGGGTGTGTAGTGTTGAGTGTGGGAGTCGGACAGAGTGGGAGCGGAGTGTGTGGATGCTGGGGTGTGGACACTGCTGGGTGCAGTCGAAGAAGTTAGGGCCACTGTGGTGCCAGTTTCCTTACTGCTGGGGTAGGAGGAGGTGGTGGTGGGATGGACAGATGTGGTTTCCAGGTGAGTTGTGGAGGAAGGCTGTGTGACGTGGACAGGTGAAGTCCTGGGTGTGCTGAAGGACAGGAGGGGTTGAGAGAAGGCCTTGGTGGTGCTGATTATCGGTGGGCTGGTTGTTTTTACCTCTGTAACTGTGGTGGCAAGGTGGGTGGTAGCAGTTGGCCTCATGGTAGATGCAGAAGACACCTCATGTGGACTGGTGGAGGCAGTGTGATGGGTGGCAGTTATCGAAGAGGTGGTGACTGTTGGAACCTCAGTGGTAGGCTGTGACTGGGTCCCAGATGTGGTGGGAAATCTGATGGTGGTCTGGAGAGAAGTTCCTGAGAGGGCAGTGGAGTGTGAAGTATGCAAGACTGACACTGTGGGAGAGGAGTGTGTGGACAGTGAGGTGTGGACACTGCTGGGTGTGGTGGAGGTGGTAAGGGCCACTGTGGTGCCAGTTTCTGTACTCCTGGGGTAGGAGGAGGTGGTGTCGGGATGGAGTGACGTGGATTCCAGGTGAGATGTGGAGGCAGGTTGTGTGATGTGGACAGGCGATGTCTTGGTTGTACTGAATGACAGGTGGGCCTGGGTAGTGGAACTGGTGGTGACGGTTGCTGGTAGTGCAGTGTGTGTGGTTCCTGTAATCACAGAGCTTGGTTGGGTGGTAGCAGTTGGTTTGGTGGTGGAAGCAGAAGACACCATTTGTGGACTGGTTGTGGTGCTCTGAGGGCTTGAAGTTACCAGTGAAGTGATGACTGTTGGAGACTCACTGGGAGGCTGTGTCTGAGGAGCGGTTGTGGCGGGAATGTTGGTGGTGGTCTGGAGGGATGTTCCTGTGGGTGTGTAGTGTTGAGTGTGGGAGTCGGACAGAGTGGGAGCGGAGTGTGTGGATGCTGGGGTGTGGACACTGCTGGGTGTAGTCGAAGAAGTTAGGGCCACTGTGGTGCCAGTTTCCTTACTGCTGGGGTAGGAGGAGGTGGTGGTGGGATGGACAGATGTGGTTTCCAGGTGAGTTGTGGAGGAAGGCTGTGTGACATGGACAGGTGAAGTCCTGTGTGTGCTGAAGGACAGGAGGGGTTGAGAGAAGGCCTTGGTGGTGCTGATTATCGGTGGGCTGGTTGTTTTTACCTCTGTAACTGTGGTGGCAAGGTGGGTGGTAGCAGTTGGCCTCATGGTAGATGCAGAAGACACCTCATGTGGACTGGTGGAGGCAGTGTGATGGGTGGCAGTTATCGAAGAGGTGGTGACTGTTGGAACCTCAGTGGTAGGCTGTGACTGGGTCCCAGATGTGGTGGGAAATCTGATGGTGGTCTGGAGAGAAGTTCCTGAGAGGGCAGTGGAGTGTGAAGTATGCAAGACTGACACTGTGGGAGAGGAGTGTGTGGACAATGAGGTGTGGACACTGCTGGGTGTGATGGAGGTGGTAAGGGCCACTGTGGTGCCAGTTTCTGTACTCCTGGGGTAGGAGGAGGTGGTGTCGGGATGGAGTGACGTGGATTCCAGGTGAGATGTGGAGGCAGGTTGTGTGATGTGGACAGGCGATGTCTTGGTTGTACTGAATGACAGGTGGGCCTGGGTAGTGGAACTGGTGGTGACGGTTGCTGGTAGTGCAGTGTGTGTGGTTCCTGTAATCACAGAGCTTGGTTGGGTGGTAGCAGTTGGTTTGGTGGTGGAAGCAGAAGACACCATTTGTGGACTGGTTGTGGTGCTCTGAGGGCTTGAAGTTACCAGTGAAGTGATGACTGTTGGAGACTCACTGGGAGGCTGTGTCTGAGGAGCGGTTGTGGCGGGAATGTTGGTGGTGGTCTGGAGGGATGTTCCTGTGGGTGTGTAGTGTTGAGTGTGGGAGTCGGACAGAGTGGGAGCGGAGTGTGTGGATGCTGGGGTGTGGACACTGCTGGGTGTAGTCGAAGAAGTTAGGGCCACTGTGGTGCCAGTTTCCTTACTGCTGGGGTAGGAGGAGGTGGTGGTGGGATGGACAGATGTGGTTTCCAGGTGAGTTGTGGAGGAAGGCTGTGTGACGTGGACAGGTGAAGTCCTGGGTGTGCTGAAGGACAGGAGGGGTTGAGAGAAGGCCTTGGTGGTGCTGATTATCGGTGGGCTGGTTGTTTTTACCTCTGTAACTGTGGTGGCAAGGTGGGTGGTAGCAGTTGGCCTCATGGTAGATGCAGAAGACACCTCATGTGGACTGGTGGAGGCAGTGTGATGGGTGGCAGTTATCGAAGAGGTGGTGACTGTTGGAACCTCAGTGGTAGGCTGTGACTGGGTCCCAGATGTGGTGGGAAATCTGATGGTGGTCTGGAGAGAAGTTCCTGAGAGGGCAGTGGAGTGTGAAGTATGCAAGACTGACACTGTGGGAGAGGAGTGTGTGGACAATGAGGTGTGGACACTGCTGGGTGTGATGGAGGTGGTAAGGGCCACTGTGGTGCCAGTTTCTGTACTCCTGGGGTAGGAGGAGGTGGTGTCGGGATGGAGTGACGTGGATTCCAGGTGAGATGTGGAGGCAGGTTGTGTGATGTGGACAGGCGATGTCTTGGTTGTACTGAATGACAGGTGGGCCTGGGTAGTGGAACTGGTGGTGACGGTTGCTGGTAGTGCAGTGTGTGTGGTTCCTGTAATCACAGAGCTTGGTTGGGTGGTAGCAGTTGGTTTGGTGGTGGAAGCAGAAGACACCATTTGTGGACTGGTTGTGGTGCTCTGAGGGCTGGAAGTTACCAGTGAAGTGATGACTGTTGGAGACTCACTGGGAGGCTGTGTCTGAGGAGCGGTTGTGGCGGGAATGTTGGTGGTGGTCTGGAGGGATGTTCCTGTGGGTGTGTAGTGTTGAGTGTGGGAGTCGGACAGAGTGGGAGCGGAGTGTGTGGATGCTGGGGTGTGGACACTGCTGGGTGTAGTCGAAGAAGTTAGGGCCACTGTGGTGCCAGTTTCCTTACTGCTGGGGTAGGAGGAGGTGGTGGTGGGATGGACAGATGTGGTTTCCAGGTGAGTTGTGGAGGAAGGCTGTGTGACGTGGACAGGTGAAGTCCTGTGTGTGCTGAAGGACAGGAGGGGTTGAGAGAAGGCCTTGGTGGTGCTGATTATCGGTGGGCTGGTTGTTTTTACCTCTGTAACTGTGGTGGCAAGGTGGGTGGTAGCAGTTGGCCTCATGGTAGATGCAGAAGACACCTCATGTGGACTGGTGGAGGCAGTGTGATGGGTGGCAGTTATCGAAGAGGTGGTGACTGTTGGAACCTCAGTGGTAGGCTGTGACTGGGTCCCAGATGTGGTGGGAAATCTGATGGTGGTCTGGAGAGAAGTTCCTGAGAGGGCAGTGGAGTGTGAAGTATGCAAGACTGACACTGTGGGAGAGGAGTGTGTGGACAATGAGGTGTGGACACTGCTGGGTGTGGTGGAGGTGGTAAGGGCCACTGTGGTGCCAGTTTCTGTACTCCTGGGGTAGGAGGAGGTGGTGTCGGGATGGAGTGACGTGGATTCCAGGTGAGATGTGGAGGCAGGTTGTGTGATGTGGACAGGCGATGTCTTGGTTGTACTGAATGACAGGTGGGCCTGGGTAGTGGAACTGGTGGTGACGGTTGCTGGTAGTGCAGTGTGTGTGGTTCCTGTAATCACAGAGGTTGGTTGGGTGGTAGCAGTTGGTTTGGTGGTGGAAGCAGAAGACACCATTTGTGGACTGGTTGTGGTGCTCTGAGGGCTGGAAGTTACCAGTGAAGTGATGACTGTTGGAGACTCACTGGGAGGCTGTGTCTGAGGAGCGGTTGTGGCGGGAATGTTGGTGGTGGTCTGGAGGGATGTTCCTGTGGGTGTGTAGTGTTGAGTGTGGGAGTCGGACAGAGTGGGAGCGGAGTGTGTGGATGCTGGGGTGTGGACACTGCTGGGTGTAGTCGAAGAAGTTAGGGCCACTGTGGTGCCAGTTTCCTTACTGCTGGGGTAGGAGGAGGTGGTGGTGGGATGGACAGATGTGGTTTCCAGGTGAGTTGTGGAGGAAGGCTGTGTGACGTGGACAGGTGAAGTCCTGGGTGTGCTGAAGGACAGGAGGGGTTGAGAGAAGGCCTTGGTGGTGCTGATTATCGGTGGGCTGGTTGTTTTTACCTCTGTAACTGTGGTGGCAAGGTGGGTGGTAGCAGTTGGCCTCATGGTAGATGCAGAAGACACCTCATGTGGACTGGTGGAGGCAGTGTGATGGGTGGCAGTTATCGAAGAGGTGGTGACTGTTGGAACCTCAGTGGTAGGCTGTGACTGGGTCCCAGATGTGGTGGGAAATCTGATGGTGGTCTGGAGAGAAGTTCCTGAGAGGGCAGTGGAGTGTGAAGTATGCAAGACTGACACTGTGGGAGAGGAGTGTGTGGACAATGAGGTGTGGACACTGCTGGGTGTGGTGGAGGTGGTAAGGGCCACTGTGGTGCCAGTTTCTGTACTCCTGGCGTAGGAGGAGGTGGTGTCGGGATGGAGTGACGTGGATTCCAGGTGAGATGTGGAGGCAGGTTGTGTGATGTGGACAGGCGATGTCTTGGTTGTACTGAATGACAGGTGGGCCTGGGTAGTGGAACTGGTGGTGACGGTTGCTGGTAGTGCAGTGTGTGTGGTTCCTGTAATCACAGAGGTTGGTTGGGTGGTAGCAGTTGGTTTGGTGGTGGAAGCAGAAGACACCATTTGTGGACTGGTTGTGGTGCTCTGAGGGCTGGAAGTTACCAGTGAAGTGATGACTGTTGGAGACTCACTGGGAGGCTGTGTCTGAGGAGCGGTTGTGGCGGGAATGTTGGTGGTGGTCTGGAGGGATGTTCCTGTGGGTGTGTAGTGTTGAGTGTGGGAGTCGGACAGAGTGGGAGCGGAGTGTGTGGATGCTGGGGTGTGGACACTGCTGGGTGTAGTCGAAGAAGTTAGGGCCACTGTGGTGCCAGTTTCCTTACTGCTGGGGTAGGAGGAGGTGGTGGTGGGATGGACAGATGTGGTTTCCAGGTGAGTTGTGGAGGAAGGCTGTGTGACGTGGACAGGTGAAGTCCTGGGTGTGCTGAAGGACAGGAGGGGTTGAGAGAAGGCCTTGGTGGTGCTGATTATCGGTGGGCTGGTTGTTTTTACCTCTGTAACTGTGGTGGCAAGGTGGGTGGTAGCAGTTGGCCTCATGGTAGATGCAGAAGACACCTCATGTGGACTGGTGGAGGCAGTGTGATGGGTGGCAGTTATCGAAGAGGTGGTGACTGTTGGAACCTCAGTGGTAGGCTGTGACTGGGTCCCAGATGTGGTGGGAAATCTGATGGTGGTCTGGAGAGAAGTTCCTGAGAGGGCAGTGGAGTGTGAAGTATGCAAGACTGACACTGTGGGAGAGGAGTGTGTGGACAATGAGGTGTGGACACTGCTGGGTGTGGTGGAGGTGGTAAGGGCCACTGTGGTGCCAGTTTCTGTACTCCTGGGGTAGGAGGAGGTGGTGTCGGGATGGAGTGACGTGGATTCCAGGTGAGATGTGGAGGCAGGTTGTGTGATGTGGACAGGCGATGTCTTGGTTGTACTGAATGACAGGTGGGCCTGGGTAGTGGAACTGGTGGTGACGGTTGCTGGTAGTGCAGTGTGTGTGGTTCCTGTAATCACAGAGGTTGGTTGGGTGGTAGCAGTTGGTTTGGTGGTGGAAGCAGAAGACACCATTTGTGGACTGGTTGTGGTGCTCTGAGGGCTGGAAGTTACCAGTGAAGTGATGACTGTTGGAGACTCACTGGGAGGCTGTGTCTGAGGAGCGGTTGTGGCGGGAATGTTGGTGGTGGTCTGGAGGGATGTTCCTGTGGGTGTGTAGTGTTGAGTGTGGGAGTCGGACAGAGTGGGAGCGGAGTGTGTGGATGCTGGGGTGTGGACACTGCTGGGTGCAGTCGAAGAAGTTAGGGCCACTGTGGTGCCAGTTTCCTTACTGCTGGGGTAGGAGGAGGTGGTGGTGGGATGGACAGATGTGGTTTCCAGGTGAGTTGTGGAGGAAGGCTGTGTGACATGGACAGGTGAAGTCCTGGGTGTGCTGAATGACAGGGTGGCCTGGGTAGTGGAATTTGTGGTAATGGTTAGTGGTGGTGCAGTGTGTGTGGTAACCATGGAGGCTGGGTGGGTGGCAGCAGTTCGTGTCATGATGGAAGCACTAGACATAACATGTTTAGTGGTTGGGTTGCCCTGAGAGGTGGAGGTTCCTAATGAGGTGGTGACTGTTGCTGACTCCCTGGTCGGCTCTGTCTGAAGTCCAGGTGTATTAGGAAGGTTTGTTGTGGTCTTCAAGGATGTTCCTGAGTGTGTGGAGTGCTGAGTGTGGGAGACTGACAGCGGGGAAGAAGAGTATGTGGAGAGTGTGGTGTGGACACTGCTGGGTGCAGTGGAGTTAGTAAGAGCCACTGTGGTACTGGTTTTCGTACTGCTTGGGTAGGAATAAGAGGTAGTAGGATGGCCTGAGGTGGATTCCAAATGGAGTGTAGAGGAAGGTTGTGTGATATGGACAGGTGATGTCCTGGCTGTGCTGAATGACATGGGAGCCTGAGTGGTGGAACTGGTGATCATGCTTAGTCGCTGAGTAGTTTGTGTGGTTCCTGTAAGCATGGATATTGGATGGGTGGTAGTAGCTGGCTTCATGGTCGATGAAGAAAATCCCAGATTTGGGCCAGTAAACGTGATATGAGGCATGGCAGTTAGCAAAGAGGTGGTGACTGTTGGAAATTCACTGGTAGACTGTGTCTGTGGCCCAGATGTGGTGGGAAATCTGGTGGTGGTCTGGAGGGAAGTTCCTGAGACCAGTGTGGAGTGTAAAGTATGCAATACTGACACTGTGGGAGAGGAGTGTGTGGACAATGAGGTGTGCACACTGCTGGGTGGGTTGGATGTTGTAAGGGCCACTGTGGTGCCAGTTTCCATACTGCTCGGGTAGGAGGAGGTGGTGGTGGGATGGACTGACATGGATTCTAGTTTGGGTGTGGAGGAAGGTGGTGTGATGTGGACAGGCGATGTCCTGGCTGTGCTGAATGAGACGTGGGCCTGGCTAGTGGAAATTGTGGTCATGGTTGGTTGTGGTCCAGTGTGTGTTGATATTGTCACTGTGGAATCTTGCTGGGTAGTCGATGTTGGTGTCATGGTGGAAGCAGAGGAGACTTCGTGTGGACTGGTTCTGGCACTCTGAGAGGAGGGAGTTGTCAGAGCCGGGGTGAGTGTTGGAGACTCACTGGGAGGCTGTGTCTGAGGGCCTAATGTGGGTGCAGAATGGCTGGTGGTCTGTGGGGATGGTCCTTGAGGAGTGTGAGTTGTGTGGTGAGGGGTTTGGGAGGTGGGCAGCGTGGGTTGGGATTGGCTGGGCATGTCCGTTGGCAGTGCTGTGGAGGCGAGTTCCACAGGCTGCGTTTGCGGTGCTGTTGGGCGCCCACTGCTCTGGCTCGTGTGCCGTGTGGCTTGTGTGGCTCTGGAAGTCAGTTCTGCTATCGGTGTGTGTGTGGTTGTTGCTGTGCCTGTTGTCTTCTTGTGGGCAGTTGTTTCTGTGGGATCACAGAAGGTGTTATGCAACATTCCATTCTGTCCAGCCTTGTCCTCCTCACACTGTCCCGTGTTTGTCCTTGTCTCCCCGGTTGCACAGCAGTGGATGCTGCCCTTTCTGGCTCCCGTGCCCCGCCCATTCCCTGCTGTGCTCCTGAGGCATCTGTGGTTCTCCCCGAGATTTGTAGCTACTGCCCTGCTGCCCTTCAGCCACCACCTCTGCATGTGCACAGTCCCAATTTGACATTTGTGGTACTGGTTCTGGGTGTGGCTCCCCAGAGTGGGGCTTGTGGGTGACGCCACGCTGCCCTGTGTCCCTGCTGTGCTACTGGGCCTGGTCTTCCCACTTGCCCTATGGGCACTCTTGGCCATACTCCCTGGCCCTGCGCTGCTGCACTGTGCTGGGACACACATGTGGCCTAGACATCCTGGGGTCCCGTGGACCGTGGCTCACCGTGTCCATGAGGTGTTGCCCACGTGGTCACGGTCAGTGGAACCATTGTCGTCTGTGCCGTGAACTGAGCTGTGGACATGGTAACTGCGCTGGGAGATGATGTTGTGGGCTCTGTTGTTGCTGTGGTAACTCTGTGTCCTGTGGCTGTTGATGTCACTGTGACTGTAGGCACCAGAGGTGATGTGGCAGGTGTGGTGACAGCCGAGGTGGTTGGAGAGGATTCTACAAGGAACAGGCTCTCTGTGTTTCCCAGCTTGTGTCTAAGGCCCCTGCCTGTCTTGGCCTCCTGGAGGAGCACCGGCCTCTTGCTTCCCTCTTCTTGTGCCTTCTATTTTCTGTGTGGCAGTGGTGGCCTGGTGGCAGAGGCCATGAACACATGGTCCTGTGGACCAGCTGGGTGGGCAGATGTCCTGTCCCTCAGTTCCCAGGCCCCATAGCAGGTGGCAGTATGAGCTGGGGCTACCTGCTCTGTCTCTTACATTTCTAGTGGCAGAATAAGGTGCATGGAAATGGTCACATCAGTGGCCAGCTTGGGCTGTAACAAGTTTTTCAGAAAAATCTCCACTTGGCTTCCCAGCTCAGGCCTGTGTGGTGACAGTCCTCCTCATATCTCACCTGGGCACAAGCAGAGCCCACCCCCACCCATGTTACCTCTTGACGTGGTAGAGGCTGAGGTCGTCTGTCTCTCTGTGGAGGCTGTGGTTGGGTGGCCTGGTGACTGGGTACCTGTGGCTATGGGCAGGGTGCTGGGTTGGCTGGTGCTGTTGATTGCTGTGGTGGGCGGTGATCCTGCATGAGGTACACGAGGTCATATCCTTAGGATGGGCAGGGCCTGGTCTCCTTGTCCTGTGGACCTGCTGTCACCTCACTGCACTGTGGAACCCAGGGGCTGTGTGGGAGGGCGAGGGCCTGGGTGGCTGTCCGAGGTTTTAGGCAACCCAGGCATGGAGGCTGGGCTGGCCAGAGCTAAGTTCTGCTGCCTTTGTCCTCTGACCTAGAGGGCACCTCCCTCCCCCAGCACTGGAGATACTGAGACTGGGCCAGCGTAAGGGCTTGAAATGGGTGGTCACCTGTGGTGGATGGCAGCGGTGGCGACGTGGGCTGTGAGGCTACAAGAGGAGAGGTGGTCAGGAGTCGCCCCTTCCCATCCCTCCCTGAACCCTCTTTTACCCTGTTACCAGAGCTGGAAGAGCAGCCAGGGTGCTCCGCAGGGTGGACTGGACCCCAGATGGGTTTCTGCTATGTCTACACCCTGGCTGGCAGAGGCCAGGGCAGGGAGATTGGGAGCAGCATGACCCACGCTGCTTTCTCTGCACCAGCAGCAGGCAAGGTGCAGGCAGCAGGTGCTGGGCAGGATGGCAGCTTGGGCAGGCCTAGGGCACCAGGTGCCTTCCCCCTCTATGAGGGCCTGGTCCATGCTACCTGGGGCTGACTCACCGCAGGGCACGCAGGTCCCCTGGCTCTGGTCAAAGTACTCGTCCTGGGAGCAGTTGTAACAGCCTAGGGCAGACAGCGCCAGCTCAGTGCCTTCACCTGATTGCCCTCCCTGCAGCTCTTGGACCATTCATGTGTGAGTGGACAGGCATGCAAGTGTGTGGATGCCTATGTGGCTGAATAATGAGCATGTGACTGAGTGGTTTGAGAGATGTTCAGGGAGAGTCCCTACACCACACCTTCGATGTTGGTGCCCTTGAAGTCCTGCAGGCTGCCAGGGCAGAGGCAGGGCCGGTAGTGCCACAGGCAGTCATCTTCCTGTGTGAGCTGCTCCTTGCTTCCCTTGTGCGGGTGGGTGTTGTAGAAGTCACAGTAGATGGCTGGGGGGGAGGTGCCCGACAGTCATTGGTGAGGGAGGCTCAGCTCAAAGCTTCAGGGCACAGCCTGGGCTGGGGAGTGGATGAGGGATGGGGGGTAGGGCACTCACGGCAGAAGTCTGGGGCCCTCCAGTCCACACACACGCCCTTGTCCAGGCAGGCCTTGGCATAGGCGGCCACTGCGTCACATAGACACTCACAGTCTCCACCCGTGTCACAGCCACATGCGTCATGCACACAAGCCTCATAGTAGGGCAGGTGGTACACCTGTGGGTAGGGCCAGTCAGCATGGCCCTGGTGGCAGTCACCCTTGGCCACTGCCAGCCTTCATAGCTAAGCTGCTGCAGAGGCTTCTGGCCTCCCCCAGGGCCAGCTGATTCACTAGAGCCAAGTCCCTCTGGCCTGTGGGACCACCTTCAGCAGCAGCTCCTCTCTTGACTCCCTGAGTCCTTATGCTCATGAGCTCAGAGCCTGCAGCCAGGCCAGGCTGGTTCCTGTCTCATAGTCTCGGCATAGCTGCTGTGACCTGGGGACACCCTCCTCTTAGTGGATCCCCAGGAATTGGGGGCTTTCCTACAAGCTCCCCAGTCCAGGGAGTCTCCCATCTGAGTGTCTCCTTCCCTGGCCCTGCACCCCAAAGCAGGGCTTGTGCCCGGGTGCTGCCGGAGCCTGGGGTGCTATGGACTTACTGTGATGCAGTCAGACTGTGAAGGAGGGGGGCCATCTCTGCTCCAGCTCAGCCAGCCTTGCCCCCAGGAGAGGGCTAGGTCAGGGTGGCACCTACCTTGCTGTGGCAGGCAGCGAAGGTCTGGCCGTTGATGATGCTGCACTTGCGCTCGGCCCAGGAGCGGCGGAAGGCATTGAGACTGCAAGGCTCCACTGCAGCGCGCATGTCCCCGCACAGTGGGCTCTCCTTCCAGGAGTTCACGAACTCCAGCTCACTGGACGCCACATACCTGCTGCGTGTCTCAAAGTCGTCCTTCATGTTCCCGTTGGCATTGCCACACAAGCCACAGAGGGCATCCTGTAGGGCCATCAGGTGGGGAGTGAGGATTTGGACCCAAAGCCCTGCCTGGAGAGCTGGTGAGCCAGGTGCCTGGGCATGCAGCAGTACCTCAGAGGAGCGGCTGATCTTGATGGAGACACTCATGTGCTTGTTCCAGATGAGCGTCATGTTGAGCCTCCCAGGGATGTCCACATCCAGCACCAGGCTCAGGGCGCTGAGCTGCACTTGGAAGTGCACATGGGAGTCCTCGCCATGCACCACATAGCTGCCGTCTGCCATGGTGATGGACAGGCCCTGCGGGGTGGGGTGTCATGGGTCCCTGGTGGAAGGTCCCACTGGGGACGCAACAGATGCAGCTTCCGGGACAGTCCTTCCCCTGCCCGAGACCTGGCATAGGTCACAGGACCGTGAAATAAATGCCTGGCTGGTGAACAGCCTCTGCCGGGGAGGGCTGTGGGCACCGCTGTCCCTATCCAGAGCAGGCAGGGGGGTCAGCACAGGAAGGTGGAAGTGGGGGCCTTGGCTGGGTAGTGCTCCCCCTCCCCCTGACGCAGCTGCTTACGCCCAGGGTAGTCTTGATGGCACGGGAACAGGTGACCCCCAACTTCCCACAGATGATGTTTTCTGTCAGGACCTTGAAGATGGGCTGGGAGCTGTTGGTGCCACAGTCGTCCTGCAGAGAAGCAGCGCTGAGCAGAAGCCCCATCCCTGCCCCACTCCCTGCAGCCCTCTCCTACCCCCCAGGCCAGTACCGTGGCCAGGGTATACTCGCAGTTGCCATCAAACATGAAGCGCTGCCCATCAAAGGTAACCATGTGGCCCTCCCCGTACAGCACGCAGGTGGATGGGCAGTGGGCGCCTTGCTGGCAGGCCCAGCGCCCCTGTGAGCAGGTGCTGGAGAGAGCAGGCAGTAGGTGGCCCTCCTCTGGTCTGCTGTCAGATCCTGGGGTTCCCCAGGACTGGCATACCTCCAGGATCCCACAACCATGCATCCCACATTCAGACATCCCCACCTCTAGTCACCCCCACCTCCAGATGCCTCCAACTCCACACATCCCACCTTTGGGTGCCCTTGGCCCCACAGGTGAGGTGCAGCTTACCAGATCTTACAGTCAGTGTGGAGCTTGGCGCCCCCGGGGTAGGAGACCCCCGCAAAATCACATGGACACTGCTCTGGGGGCACACACTCCCCACTGGGGTCCTCATAGAGCCCCTCTGCACAGGCACAGCCAGGCTCGCACTTGGTGGGCACCTGCAGGGAGGGCAGGGTCAGTGGCCTCTGCTCACCACAGCTTGGCCCTTTGCTCTGACACCCCCGCTGTTCCCTCAGGATCCTCCCCACAACCCTGCCTGCAATGGGGTCGGTCTCCCTGTGCCCATCAAGCTGGCACAGGCTGGCTCCCCGAGTTAGGCTGCTCATGGGACCCCACAGTGGCCAACAGTGATCTTCCAGCAGCTGGGCCAGGAGTAGCTCCTGACCTGACGCCAGCTTGGCCCAATCCTGGGAATACAGGCGGCCACTGGGAGCTCCCCTCCTCCCTTCAGTCCTTACACAGGCAGTGCCCGTGGCCAGCATCTGACAGGTGGGCGCGCACGCGGCCCCGAACTTGTCTTCTGCGGACTGGTCGCAGGACTGGAACGTCTTGGGGGCTGGGCAGGAAGCTGTGAGGGCAGGAGGGTGTGTCAGGTGGACTGGGGACTGCAAAGCACCTCAGGGTTGTGGCTGGCCTCAAGAGGTTCTGTACTTACCCAGGAGGTTCTGTGGCTGCCCTGAGCAGCTAAGCCGCCCATTGACGCAATAGCTGTGAGAGGGAAGCAGTGAGTTCTAGAGTAGGACAAAGGCCCCGCGCCACCATGACCCTCACAGTGACCCCGCCCCACCACTGCTGACTCCTCCAGTCCTGGCACCACCCAAGGCTCTCATCCCGCCCTCTCAGCCAGGCCCACCCTCTCTCAGCCCCAGCCCGCACCAGATGACTCCATTAATCATGGTAGACTGGTCCGATGGAAGGAACTTGGAGCTATCCAGCAAGCAGGGGCACTGGGCCTTGCGCACGCACTCTCCCCTGTGGTCCAGGTAGGTGCCCTCAGGGCAGTTGCAGCCGTCCACAGGCATGGCACTGGGATGGCACTCTGCTTCATGGTCAGAGAGTGATAGGCATGTGCGGCCGCAGGCCTGGCTGTTGTAGCTGAATGTGCGGTTGCCAGTGCAGGGGACGGCTGTGGGGGACTGGGATCAGGCTCTCTTCGGATGCTGACCTGGGCTGGCAACCCCGTGGCCCCTCACCCTGAGGCCCCACAACCCTGGCCAGCCAGCACTCACTGCAGTTGTCCACACTGCTCCTCCAGCCCCAGAGCAGGATGCCCTGGGAGGCACAGGCCTGCGCGTAGGTGCCCAGGGCTGCGCAGATGTGGGGGAAAGTCTCCTCGTAGTTGCAGGCCTGGTAAATGCACCTCTGCAAGCCAGAGTTGCCAGACTGGTGTGAGCAATGCCTCCTCCGGCCTCCTGCCCTCAGCCCTGCCATGACCCCAGCCTTACCTTGTAGAAGGGTGTGGGGTTCACTGTGGTGTGGCACTTCTCGAAGGCGCCTCCCTTCCTCAGCAGCTCTGAGCAGTGGGTCTCCGCGCACACCTCTAGGGGATGGGTGGTGTGGGTCTCCCCTTGACTCCCCACTGGGTAGGCCTGAGCCCAGGACAGTGGAGGCAGGGCACTCACTGTTGAGCTGGCTCATGGAGCAGGGGTCGGTCTCACGCTCCAGGGCAGCTGGGCAGTTTCCTGCCCGCCAGGAGTCCACGAAGGGCGTGGCGGTGCCCTCGTCAATGCCCATACTGGTCATGAAGTCATCAGTCGTGTCCCCGTTGAAGTTGCCACAAAGCCCTGAGCCAGTCAGGTGACTGAGCCCTGAGCTGGCCTCCTGTGCCCCCTCCCCAAAGGTCCTCTCTCTAGGTGTGCCTGGCGAGGTCCCATTGCTGGCCTCACAAAGCCATTCCCGGGCCCTGGGGCCTCGAACTCCTGGGATGTGAGGGCCAATGTGAGGCTTGCTTGGCCCCTATTGCTACCCCTACCCCTGCCCTATTGCTGACCACAGCAGGGATGGGGTGAGTGGTCACCCAGGGGGTGATGTGGGCAAAGCTCACCTCTGGTTTGGCCTTGGAACTGGGACCCAACAGTGATATACAGCTGGAAGATAGGGCGTAGCTGGACCACAAGCTCCAGCCCGAAGGTGGTGGCCATCTGGAGGTGGGTAGACGTCTGCCTGAAGATGGTGATGTTGCCTGCAAGGACAGGCTTCTCAGTGGCTAGCCAGCCTGGCCCCACCCAGGAGTGCTGCTGGTACGAGCACCTACCTGTCTTGTATGGTAGCCACTTGGTGTCTCCGTGATTGGTGATCACCTCATCCTCTGAGATCACAATTTTGTCCTGGAGAGGGTAGCCTAGGTTAGGGAAGAGCAGCGCAGGTGCCAGCGGGCAGGAGCATCACAGGGCCATGGGGCAGCTGAGGCCTTACCTTCTGGGACATGTAGATGACAGCAGTCAGGGAGGTCTCCGAATGCGAGTAGCCCGACTTGTCGTACACGGCCATGAGGGTGCCCTCATCAGGGAGCTGTGGACTCTGTGAAGGGGGCTCAGGCATAGAGGGGTGTCCACTCACCCCCATGCAATCCTACCTGTGGGGCTCAGATGTGCAGGGGCTGCACGCCAGCCCCAAGTCTGCCATACCTGGAGGAGGATGTAGGTGCAGGTGCCGTGGAAGCGGTAAGGCCTGGTGTCAAATGTGGTGACAAAGGAGCCACCTTCCAGGGAGCAGGTCCCAGGGCACGGCTTCTCCATGCACGTCCAGTGTCCTGTGGTGCACTGGCTGCAGGTAGTTATGATGTGACACAGTGCAGGCGGGTTCCCAAGCCCATGTCCTCCCTGCCAGTGCCCAGTGCTCACCAGGTCTGGCAGGTGGCTGCTGTGACCTCACCAGGGCTGTAGACCACCCCATTGAGCATGCAGGGGCACTGGCTGAGTGGCACACATGTGTGGTTTGTGGAGAGATTGTCGAGCACCGTACCTGCAGGAGAGGATGTCCCGGGCCTGGCCTGTCCAGACCCACTTCCTCTGCCTGGCCATCCCCACTCCCACAGCTATACCAGGTGCCTCCTCTCCGAGCTCTGGGTAGCTCCAGCCCTGCTGGTGTCTTCTACGACTGTGGCCCCTGGGTGTGTGCCACCCCTCAGGCCCAACGTGGTACACCCCTCAGGCCCAACTCTGAGCCGCCTTGCCCAGCCGCACTCAAACCCCTGTGGACACTGCTGTCCCATGGGTTTATTAGGATTCTCTGGGGTCCTGAACAGTTGGAGCTGTGTGGTTTTGGGGCGGCTGAGGGTCTTGAGGTGGGGACTCAGCAGGGTGCTGAGCAAGGCAGGGTCATGGCAGAGGCTGGTGACTCTTGGCCCTGGGCTTTACTCTGGGTTCCCGAGGAGAGTCTGAGTCATGGTTAGGGTTAGATTAGGGTTGTGGTCAGAGTCAATGTCAGGGTAAGTCAGAGAAGGAATAGAGTCAGGGTTAATGTTAAAGTTGGGGTTGGGGTCAGAGTCAGGATTAGGTCAGGGTCAGGATTGTGGTCAGGGTTAGATCAGGAACTGGGTCAGTCAAAGAGGATGCTGGCATTGCCTCACCTTCTGGGCAGAAGCAGCCAAAGGTGCAGGAACTGGGACAGCTGTGCCGGGGATTGGAGCAGGTCCGGGTGCAGACCACGCCACACTCCTGGTACTCCAGGCTGGCCGGGCATGAGCCCAGCGCTACACATGGTGCGGTGTGTTTAGAGCCTGTCCTCTGAGTGCTCTGCCCACCCCACTGCCCTGGTACTCACAGCAGAGGCCAGGGCCCCGCCAGCGGCTCACAGGCTGGCCTGCCATGCTGCAGCGGCGTGAGAACTCCGACAGCGTGGCACAGCTGCAGTTGGGCTGTCCAGGTGGGTTGCAGGCCACCATGTCCACCTGGCAGCTATGCACCAGCAGCTTCTTGGGCACGTCACACTCAGGAGACACCAGGGCAAGCAGCTGGGCACAGGTCTGGGCCTGGGATGGGGAGCTCAGTCACACCAAGGCCACACACACAGGACTCGTTCTCTGGGGACCTCGCACACCCTAGGGTCAGTCCATTGTGGACCCTGATGCCTCACATACGTCCTTGGCATGCAGCATGGGGGTGCTGGGGATGGCCTCGTAGGTGCAGATCTCATTGGGGTCATCAAGCTTCTGGAGTGCAGCGAACTTGTGGGGTTCTAGGAGTTTGCCTGGGGGTGGGGGCCAGGGTCAGGACTGCAAGGCTGGGTCTCTGAAGGCCCAGGCTTCCTTCCACCCCATGCCACCTACCATCCTCGCTCATAAAGTCATTGTCCGCATTCCCGTCAAAGTTTCCACACAGCCCGCACATCTGGCCCATGTACTTCCTCTCCACCAGGACCTATGGTGGATGGTGGGCACTGCTGGGGGGTCGTCCCTCCTGCTCCCAGCCCAGTGCCCCACTCACTCTGCGCCTCCAGGCCCCAAGTCTTACTGGATCCTCATTTTCAAATGAGAAACAATACACACCCAACCATGCCTGGGTTGTTGCCAGCGAGAGCCCAGGAGGTAGGACCCTGCCTGTGTGACCCCCAACGTGCCTGGCCCTGCACCCTCACCATGAGGTGGGGATCTGGGCCCCACAGTACCACCAACTCCAGCTCTAGCTGCTTGGCTGCCAGCTGCACGCTCTGGCCGTAGGGTGTCATCTGAAGCCCATTGCTGGTGTAGGGCAGGCTGACGACCCTGCAGATGAGAGTGGTCAGCAGCTGTTCCCTAGTCCTCTGTGGCCCATGGCCCAGCCTGGCTCGCTGACCTACCCCACGTCCTTGATGGAGATGGTCCCATTTTCCACAGTGATGACAGAGGCCCCCAGCTCCACAATGATCCGGAAGATGTTCCCGTCTGGCCCGCGCCGCAGCTGCACACTGAAGGCGGGCATTGCGTTTTTGCAGGTGGCCGCGAAGACATAGTTGCAGGTCCCCGAGAAATCGTAGGCACCATAGTCGAATGTGGAGAAGTGGCTGGCGCCCCACGTGGAGCACCAGCCCTTGTCTGGGGCTGTGGAGACAGTGGCAGGGTCTCAAAGCCCCACGTGTTGGGCAAGGCTGGGCACCCTGGGGCACATGCTGGGCCTGGAAGCCCATTCTGGTGGAAAGGGGAAGGAGGGACCTCTCTGCCCGCCCCACCCTGTCCCTTTCTGCATCTTACAGGACTGCAGATTTCCCTCAGCACCAGGGCCTGTGGCATTTCCAGTCGGGGAGTCTGTAAAATAGGACACATCCTTTCAGCGCCAACTCACCTAATACTCACCAGGGACCACAGCTGGGGCCACTCTGGGTCTTCTGGCACTGGACTGTCTCATGGGGACCCCACTCCAGCATGTGTGCTTGCTGAGAATGCACCAGAGTGTGTGCAGGAGTATGCATTATTGTGCAGCAGAGTCCTTGGTTCCTGTACACCCAGGAGAGCAAAGGTAGCAGTCTAGGCCAGTGGGTTGGTTTTTTTTTTTTTTTTTTTTTTTTTTTTTTTGTCTTTTTTCGTTTTTATCGGTACCAGGGATCGAACTCACGACTGCCTGCTTGAAAGGCAAGCGCTTATGCCGCTGAGCTAAATCCCCAGCCCGCCAGTGGGTTTTGGAGCCTGTCCTCATCCCCTTTGGCAGAGGTGGTGCCTGGCTTACCATCATGGTGCAGATTCTGCCCTCCCCTCAGTGCTCTCCTTTTCCTCTCTTTTCTACCTTTGGATTGGCGCAGGCTGCTATCTGTGCCCGTCACAGGCAGGGCTGTGGCCAAAGCACAGGATACCTGGTGTGAGCCCTTCCTGGGAGGGCATATATGCATGTGTGCACACCCACTTGCACACATAGGGATGTGCATGTGCACAGGCACACATGTTCACACATGTGCACACAAGGACACATTGCACAATGCATTGGCACACATAGGTGTGTGCACATGCACATGTATGCACATGCATGTATATGTGCATAGATATATATGCAAGTGCATATAACATGCGTATATATGCACATAGCCATGTACGTATGTGTGTGCACAAAATATACACGCACATAGTATGCTCATGCACACACGCTCACAATACACATATCCATGTATACATATGTATAGGCACATACATGCAAGATACATGTGCACACCTATACACATAACTGCGCACACATGCACATGCCATTACACAAGCACAAACATGCATGCACACATGCGCATAGTCTTGCACAGGCCCACACGCATGCACACACAATGTGCACAGCTGAAGCCATAGGCTGCAGGTAGCACTGGGAGGCTGAGGATGAGTTGGGTGTGCTGTGCCCAGAGGACCCTGTGATGTGTGCACAACCCCTGCTCTGGGCCAGGGTTTGTGGGGGACACACTGCCCTGTGAGGGGCAGGGTTTGGACAGGCAGCCTAAGACCTCACTCTTCTATCTCTCTGGCACTCTGTCCCTGCTGCTTCTCTGTCCCCTCAGTCCCTCTGTTCTGTTCCTTGACTCCTGCTCTGGCTGTCCCGAGCTTGGTCCTGACTCCCATGGCATCTATGTCCAGCTCTGAGCAGTGCTGTGAGGCTGAGGCTGAGGCTGCCCATGTCCCCTACGCCCTGCTGTGGCCATCTGTCTAGCTCTTCCTCCTTGGCACCTCCACGCCAGCCCATGGGAAGTCCTGCGATTGGGATGCCGTTGCCATGGAGATGCCCAGATAGCAAGGGTCATGGTGACTGCAAGGCAGGGTGGAGCGGCTGGAGAGTAGTGCCTGTTCCCATCTCAGCCCTCTCCCCATGCTCCACCCCTTCCTGATGTCCCCGTGCTGGCTGGGCAGCTGCCTGTGGCCTAGTGAGATACACTGTGAGTCCCTGAGGATGTGACTTGGGGATGTTCTGATTCTATCCCTGCCCACTTGCACCCCAGCTCTGGTGATCTTTGGATGTGATGCCCCCACCCCTGACTGCTGCTGGTTGCTGCTGGGGTGCATGCGACTCTGGGGGCCGAGCTGCCAAGAGTTATGTGCCTCAGGTGGAGTACAGGCATGTACTCCAAGGGTCAGCGGTGGGTGGTGTGAGCCCCTGGCTGGGCAGTGAGGAGCCCTTGGTGCAGTGATGGCTTGAAGTAGCTGGAGGTCCTAGCACAGGTGGATGCATGTCAGACAAGGCCTCTTGAGCTTAGGATCCTTTTCCATGTAGCTGCACGTAGCTGGCACCCAAGTGTCCCATGTCCATCCCAGGTTATGATGGGGTGGGGACTTGCCCTGGGCCTGGGCCTGGTGTTTGTTCCCTTCCAGGACTGATTTCGGGAAGTGGCCACCCACCCACCCTCCACCCTGTACCAGCACCTTTGGGGCTCAGTTTCACCTTCCCTTGGGAGGCGACCCTGGACTCCATTCTCCAAGACACTCTCTGCCCCAGGTCTTCCACAGGTATGTCCTCCTGTGGGGCCTTCTTCCCTTCCAGTATCCCTGAGTCCCCACTTCCTTTGTCTGTCATGATCCCCACTGGGCCCCACACCCTGTCCTGCTGGGCCACCTGTGCCAATGTCTGTCCAATGACCATCGATGGGGTTCTGGGGCCTCCTGGGCATCTCGCCCGCCACCCCCGGCCTTTCTCTGCCCTGGATGGGTGCAGGGCAGCCAGTGCACGCCGTGTTCCTCTGCACGCTTGGCAGCCTGCCTGCTGCTGGCCCCTTCCCACCAGCCCCAGCCCCGTGACTCTGCCTTCTGCCTCCCTTGGGCCACACCAAGTTGTCTCTCAAAGAACATTTGCTGAAATGAAAGGGCTCCAGTCCCTCAGCTTTTGAAGGGCCTCACCCCATCCCACCTCTGACACTGCACAGGGATGTGCACAGGCAGCTGCATGGTGGGGGAGGGGCGCAGAAGGGGCCCTATCAGTGGTACGTGGGTCAGGGCTGCCTGAGCTCAACCCACAGGTTGTGCTAGCTGTGGTCACCCCAGGGGGCTTCTGAAGGGCTGAGTCAGTGTATGTTGTGCATTGGATAGAAGGGGAAATGGGGCCGAAGGGCCCCCCTGTACCCCAGCTCCTCTGGAGACCAGGCTTTGAGGAGCAGAAGAGCGCCTGGCCTGCCCTGTGGGGCAGCTGCTCCCAGGGCCCTGTGCCTACCCCAGCGCCATCCTCCCATGCACAGTGACAGGGCTCTGGTGCCTGCACCATATGTCGGCACCTGCATGGCTGGCACTCTCCCCTCACGTGGCTCCACTCACCAGCCTTGAGCAGGACCACCCCACAGGGCAGCAGCAGCAACAGCAGCAGCAGTAGCAGCCTGGGCCCACGCATGGTGCTGGCTCTGGGAGGAGAGAGGTCGCGGCTGCCCGGCCCACTGCTGGGCGCCCGGCAGTCTTGCTGCTGCCACCTGTGTGACTTGGGCAACCAGCACCACCCACCTTATATAGAGGTGGCGGCTTGATCCCAGCCACGCCTGCCTGTACCCCACGCGCGGCCGAGTGGGGGCCAAACAGGATCTGGGTGCTGCCTTATCAGTGCTCAGCCTTCTTTGGAAAAATCTGCAGCAGCCAAAAGTGGCCTTGTTATCACCACTCCCAGGGGGGCTGACACACCCCAGGGTCCCCAACACCTTGTGGGCCAGGCCTGGGGGCAGACTGCCAAAGCCGTCCTACTGCCTGCATAGGGCACTGTTAGCCACATACCTGGGCTGCCAGCATGGAGTGCACTGGGGTGTCAGGAGGGCTCCCCACCCTGGACAGCCCCACCCCCACCCACGAACCCCACAAAGCTCCTATTCGCTGGGGCCTCCTTTGTCCTGAGTCTTCTGCCCAAGGTGAGGACCTCTTGGGTGGACTCAGGCATTGGGGGCAGTGGGTCTGACTTGGGCCTGAGGGTTCCTTAGGATGTCTGTCGGTCCCTTCCTGGAAACTTCCCTCACCTGGCAGCTGGGGGAGGGCCAAGAGCTGTCCTCAATGAGCGGGGACCCCCCACTGTTGTCAGACACTGCTGCCCCAGCCCCAGGAGCAGGGCTCAGTCCTCAGAGCTGTGCCTCTCTGTGGGGGCGGGTGGGGACATAGTGCTTGGGGTACACTTTGTCACAAACTTGCTGGGGAACAGAGGCTCCTGGGCAACCTTGGGGCAAGGCATGTGCCGGCCTTGAGGGGCTGGCACTGCTGTGGGGGCAAAAGTCAGGGCGAAGGCCCCCTCCACCCTCTTGCTGGTGGATGACGGTGTCTTACAAGTCAGAGACATTGTTCCACCCAAGGGGAGTCTGGGGGCTTGGGTGCAGGCCTCTCTTCCCTGGGGTGGCTCCGGCCTACCCTACGAGAGCCAGTGTTGTACAACCTGAGCAAGGACCTGCTCTCCAAGCAGGCCGCTCCTTGCCTCACGGACTGCAGGTCCTGGCCCCTTCCCACCTGCTTTGTGCACCAGGGGCCTCCCCTCCTCAGGCAGAATCCTGTGACTGGTGTCACCTTAAATCAGCTTTAGCTTTAACTGGACATGGACTGGGGCTGAAGTGTAGCTTGGTGCTGGGGTAGTATGCTGAGGTCCTGAGTTTGAGTCCCAATACCAAAAGGAAGAAAACAAAAACAACCCCATGTGGCCCTTATAGAAAATCGCCCTTGGTGTCCAGGATAGGAAGGTCACCCTATGCTCTCCATGGCCTCTGGGTGTCTTGCCCTTGGTCACTTCTCCTTAACACACTCAGCAGCAACACTTGGGGGTAATAGGGTGAGGGGATGGAGCAGTCCAGCCTGCCCTCTCCCAGCCTGGACACGTGCAGGTGAGGAGCAGGATCTAGGGAGTCACTGCCCAGGGTGGCCCCTGCAAGAGGACCCCATGGTCATCAAATGTGTGGCTGGGACCCCTGTGCCCTACTCCTGTGCGTGAATGCACCTGTGTGAGTGCATGCCTCTGTGTGTCAGCAAATGTGTGCATACCTGTGTGTGTGTGTAGATGTCTGTGTGTGCATGTAAGCATGTGTGCACCTATATGTATGTGGATGCCTCTGTGTCGGCAAATGTACATTGTCTGGGCACATGTGTGAGCATGCAAGGGTGCATACAGATGGCCATGTATGGTTTGTATATATGTGTACTTGTGTATAAGTGCATACATGTCAGCAACGCACCTGTGCACATGTGTGTGTGTGCATGTGCTTTTGCAGTGAGCATATGCATGTAAGGCTGTGTGTGCACATATGCGTATGTGTGCTTGTGTATGTGCACTTGCCTCTGTTAGCAAGTATATGCATGTGTGTGCACATATATGTACGCACACAGATGGTGTATGCCCCGTGTGTAAGTGTACATATGCCTGTGCACCTGTGCGTTGAGTGCATGCATTTGTAAGTGTGTGGCATATAGCTGTGTGTGCATGTATGCATATGTGCAGCTGTGTACATGTGTATCCTTGTATGTGTCAACAAGTGTGTGTTTGTGCATGTGTGTGTGCAACTGTGCATGCATAGATGCCTGGGTATGTGCTCTTGTGTGTTCAGCAAGCACATGTGCCCGTGGATGTGGATGTGTGCATGTGTGTGTCCACAGATGACCGTGCATGTGTGCAAGAGTATATCAGCAGGTGTGCCTGTGCCATTGTGTGTGTGTGTGTGTGTGTGAGCCCCACGTTCCAGGTCTCCTTTCTTGTGTGCACGGCCGCAGGTGCCCCAGGAGGGGGTATGGCCCTGGTGAGCTGGCAGCCTAGGTCCAGACTCATCGTGGTGAGGGGGCCAGCAGCTTTGGGTGCCACTTCCTCCCCATGTGCCAGTTTGAGGGAAATAGTACTGAATGCCACATTTGTCCCCTGGCCTGGGCGTGCGTGCGTGTGTTGGCATGTGGCTCCCAGGAGATGAGATAAAAGTGTGTGCAGCCGCTGTTCCTGGAGCACTCAGTGATAAGACCCAGGTCCCACTGGTCTCGGAAAGCGGAACCAGTGGCTGGACAAGGGGGCGATTGTTTACTTCCTGTCTGGCTGGGACCTCTGCCCTCCACACCTCTGAATGGCGGTCACCAGGGTCTGGGCCTGGCTGGCAAGCAGAGGTTTGGATGGGCCCCAGCCTGCTGTGGCCCCAGAGCTCAGGGTCTGGGAGGGACTGGGCCCCAGCTTCCTGGGTCCACAGTGAGCGCTGCCTGTTTGGCTGTGGCTCCTGGACAACCAGGACAAGGATGGTGGCCTCTGCCCCTGGGAGGTGCTTGTGGAAGGCTTGGGAGCAGACTTGGGCCTGGCGCCTCCCCTTGGCCAACCCTGGCTGTGCTGCGTCTTGTTTGCAGGGTGGCCAGGGTGGACCCAGGACTGTCTGTCCTGTCCTCCAGGTTGAATAGACTGCCCTGGGGTGAACACTTGTCCCCAGGAAGTGGCTGCTCCCCATCCCACCGAGGACCTAGAGTGAAGGATAGACTCCAGTTCGGGGAGCAGGACCTCACCTCTGGCCCAGCCGTGCCTGGGAACTTGTCCTGCCTCTGCACGGGCTCCCAGGTGTAAGCTCCGGGCCACTTGCCCTGTGTTTCTGGAGGGCCGAGGGCTGACTGGCCACCCTTGCTGGGTCAGGGAGCAGCAGGGGTGGCTCTGGGCAGCCCTGCTTGGGAGAGGGTGGCAGTCAGGTGACGCTGGGCACAGAGCGGCTAAGGTGGCCGCCAGCCTCAGCCCTGTTGCTCCATTGGGTCTGCTGCTGCCTGGCCTGCAGGACTTCCCCATGTGCCCCTCCCATGGGCCAGGCCGTCGGTCCCTGGTGGGTTTGCCGTGGTGAGTCTGAGCCTCTGTCCACCTGCTTCCAGGGACCTGCTGCCATGTTCCCTCAATCACCTGCACTGGGCCCCGTGCCCTCATCATCTGTCCCAGGCCCCATCCCCTCCAGTCTTTGGTCCCCACCCAGGCCTTCCCTGCTGATCTGCCACACCCCAGCCATGATGGACGTGACCACAGAGTGGGCAGTTGAGGGCTGTGGCGGGGAGCTGGGACCTGGAGGACAGCGTGAGCCTCAGTCTCCTACCCAGTGACTCCTGTTCACATTGCCACCGTCAGTCCCTTGGCACCTGGCTAGGCTGGGATGCCTGGCCCCTCTGTGGGTGGGGAGCATCTGAGTGGGAAGCTGCTGCCAAGACCTGGGTCTGCGCAGGCTGTGCTCACTGTATCCTCCCAGAGCTGGGTCTCGTCCCTTCTATCCTCCGTCTTATGCTGTGGCCACCAGAGGACCAGAGACCACAGGGCCACGGTGGGTGACACTGCCTGGGGGATTTCCAGTTTGTGGGGTGGGTGGGGTGGAATGGCCAGAGTCAAGATGGGCAGGGGCAGGACACTCCTCAGCTCCAGCTGCAAGGGTACGGAGCTTGAATGGGCTGGAGAGAGGGCAGTGCCAGCCCACAGCCATGGCAGGCCCCATGTGCCCAGCCTTGGGTGGATGGGTGGGGGCGCCACTCTCCACCACCCTCTCAGACTGATGCCTGGTCCTTGTTGTGCCTGTTCCCTAGCCTGGCCAGCAGGAGGTCATGAGGGCAAAGTTCTGTGCTGGTCATGCTTCCAGGCCCTTGGCCAGGGCCAGCAGGGAGTGGCCAGCTAGGCTCTTGCGCTGATCTGGAGGATGCTGAATGAAAAGGAAATAGATAACGCTGGGGGGCTGGGCCCTGCAGGAATGTGGGTTTTTCTGCCTCCCTCGGGCTGGTGAGGGTCACTGGCCACAGCGGGACCTCAGGGAGGACAGGAATGGAGTCTAGGGCACCTTGGAGGCCACAGCTTCTTGGAGTCCTCCTGCCTGTGATAGCAGATGGAGTTAGGGATTCAGCGGGTCCTGAAGCACCACTGGTGGCCTGTGAGGGCAGATGCAGCCAGGCTGGAGGAGAGGACAGGCCGCCAGTAGGTGCCTGAGGTTATCCTAGGCCTGGAGCCACCAGGATGAACAGGTAAACTGAGGACTGAGAGAGGGGGTCAGACGTTCGCGCTGACTGAGGACTGACATGGTCAGGTTAAATCCTGCCACTGTTGCTTTCCCATTCTTCCCCCAGTTCCCGTCCCCTTTTCTCTCTTCTTCCTTCTTTTTTTTGGTGATGGTGAGGACCAGGGATGGAGCTCATGATCTCATGCTTGCCAGGCAGATACTTGTGTGCTGCTGAGCCTTGGCCTCTCTTCTTTTGGTTTAGTAGAGTGTTTTTCTTTTTTCTTTTTCTTTCTTTCTTTTTTTTTTTTTTTTGTCTTTTTTGTTTTTATTGGTACCAGGGATGGAACTCAGGACTGCCTGCTTGCAAGGCAGGTGCTTATGCCGCTGAGCTAAATCCCCAGCCCTAGAGTGTTTTTTGTAATGTAGTTTTTCCTGCTTTGCCTTGACTCTGTAGTTT